TCAACAGGCCAGAAGTCCCTGTGGAATGAAATGTTATTGCTTAAAATTATTAGCAGTCCTAACAATTCTAAAAGAAAAATTGAGAAAAGCTTTTTTTATGAAAAAATTTAAGCTGTGAATGTACAGAATGAAGATCAGAAGAGAAATTGAACTCACTAATAAAAAGCAAAGTGGGTCTGTCCACGATAATTGAAAGATCACTGCTATATGTTGATTCAATCATCATCTTTCTTCAGTCACAACTGAGAGTGAGATGGTAGATGATCGAATTAAGACCACACTGCCCAGTATGATAGTGATTTGACTTGATAACTCTCAGATTGCAGTTGGTTTAAATCTTAATTGTATTTTTTATTTAAGAGATAGATACTACTTTTGAAATACTCTCACTTAAAGGTTATATTAAAGAGCTTAACTACAATACCATAACATACTTTGTCATTTCATTGCTAGGTGTGATAACCTGGGGAAAAAACACCTTTGAGTCTTTATTTCCACTTTATGAGTTGACTGGTGATATAAATATGTATTTCTTATCTAGTTATTTGGTTTTTTTTTTCTAGTTGTTATTTGAATATCCAATTTTCAGCTTTATTGAAGGACAGGTTTTAATTAACTTTTGTTTCTGAATGCATTTCTTTTAACTGAAATAATACTGCAAATATTGTTTCAGTAATAAATATATAAGTGCAACTTGCCAAGCAGTTTGCTGGGACAGACATATATATGGGTTTCAAATTTTTCTGTGGCCCAATTTTGAGAGTATCATTTGCTCATCAGCTTTTTTTTTAAAGTTCCAAGTACCTTGCTTATTCAATGTTAATGATTAAGATAATGATGCTTAAGTGACAGCAATCAACCAAATGCCTGCTTTATTTAGAAGAGCTGAAAGGAAACTGACAGGCACCGCTGGTGGAAGTGTAAATTGGTATAGCCACTGTGGAGAATGATCCAGTAGTATTAGTGAAATTAAATATACTCAAACCATTCACCTAGAGGAACACAGGAACAGTGCATAATAAGGCCTGAACAGGGCTATTTATCACACTGCTGCTTGTGGAGTAGGAAGCTGGAGGCAACTTAGATGTCCATTACCAAGGGAAGAGACACTGAATATGATCCTTACTATTCAGCCGTTAGGAACAAACAACCAGAGGTACACATAAGTGTAAGGCTAAAGCTTAAGAACAACATGTCAAGTTAAAAAATAAGTAACAAGATCTTTAGTACATTATCATTTGTGAAGTTTAAAATGTGCCCACACACGTAACAGCACCATTCGCCTTACAAAGATACATACATATCTGAGGATACCGCTTGGGCACATTAGATTGGGCTCCTCTGAGGCAGAGAGGAGGGTCAGAACAGAGCAGAGATGAAGGTGGAAAAACATGAAACGAGAGAAGTCAGACATGGCCCAATACTGCTAATTAGGAATATGATTAACCCACATTCCTTTAAGGTCCAACAAGGAAATGAAAATAGACCTATTTTACAAATATTCCTTTATATGCTAGTTGCGTTAAATGTTTTGGGCACTCCTGCTCTCATCTCTCCAGCATGAGATCCCATTTTATTAATGCTTATGTCTAGTTTTCCTCATCTGTTAAATACGGGTAATAGCACTACTGTTCTGATGGTGGTGTTTGAAATGTAGAAGTAAAATATATGCCAAGCATTTAGAAGAGAATATGGTATGTGGATCTTCCCTGTAGCTCATATGGTAAAGAACCTGCCTGCAATGTAGGAGACTCGAGTTCGACCCCTGGGTTGGGAAGATCCTCTGGAGAAGGGAATGGCAATCCACTCCAGTATTTTTGCCTGGAGAATCCATGGACAGAAGAGCCTGGTGGGCTACAGTTCGTGGGGTCGCAAAGAGTCGGACACAATTGAGCAACTAACACTGCTACTGCTATGGCATGTGGTAAGCATTCAATAAACGTCAGAGATTATTGCTGATATTATATTATCGTTATTATGTAACATAACTTTGACAAAAAGTTGAGGAAAGCTTGAGAAACTGCTTCTCTATTTCCGTTTATTATTTATTAGAGACTTGGAGGAAAAGCTAGTATTTATCCTAGGAACTTTAAATCAAAAGGAATAAGTGGTAATGATAAATGTCAACTAGAAAGTAAAGTGAATTGTAAATAAGATTGTGGGTTGGATTCAAATTACAAGGTCAGTGTTTCCAAAAGTTGCCTAACATTAGGAATCACCTGAAAGCTTGAGCAAAAAAGGGATGAACTAGAGACTGTAGAAAGATAAGTGGTTGCCAGGGATTAGGAAGGAGGGGAGCTTGAATAGGTGAGACAAAAAATAGTGAAACTACTGTATACTATAATGGTAGATACATGTCATTGTATATTTGTCCAAACTCCTAGAATGTACCACACCAAGACTGAACCCTAGTGTAAATTCTGGACTCTGGATAATAATGATACATCAATGCAGGGTCATCAAGGGTAACAAAGGTGCGACTCTGGTGCTGAATGTTCATGGTGGGGAGGTGTATGTGTGAAGTGAGTGGTGGAGGGTCAAGAAGGCATATGGAAACTCACTGTGGTTTCCACTTAATTTTGTTGTGACCTTGAACTACTGTAAAATATAAAGTCTATTTTAAAATAAACTATTAAAATTTTTTAATTAAAAAAATGAAGAGAGTCCCCCACTTCATCCCAGACCTACCCAGTCAAAAGGAACCTAGGAACCTATTTATAACAAGTAGACAGCATAGTTCTTATATTCAAGCTAGTTTCCTAAACTTAGTGACCTGCACTGAGCTAAGGTCACATTTTTTTTTGAAATCGAAGGAGACAAGACACTCTTCTTACATGCTGTGCTGTCTCTGTTGCTGGCCTCATCTCTTACCATTCTGTAAAAGCAAATGCCTGCCTCTCCCAACATCAGGTCTTCCCTGATTGCCCAATAATATCCTCTTGGGCTCATGTTTCATTTTCTACGGCCAATAAGTCACATTCCTGTTAAGTTTTACTTTCAAAATTTTGTTTCTACCTTTCCATTCTTTGTCATAGGAATCTTACTAAAGTTACCATGTTCCTACACCACTACTGTGTGTGAAATAGCTAGCTAACAGGAAGTTGTTTGGGTACCACAGTGGTAAAGAATCTGCTTGTTAATGCAGCAGATGCAAGAGACCTGGGTTCGATCCCTGGGTCATGAAGATCCCTAGAAGGCGGAAATGGCAACCCACTCCACTATTTTGCCTGGAAAATTCCATGCACAGAGGAGCCTGATGGGTTATAGTCCATAGGGTGGCAAAGAGTCAGACATGACTGAGCCAGCAGCAGCAGCAAGAAGCTGCTCACAGGGAGCTCAGCTTAGCTCCTTGTAATGACCTAGAGGGGTGGGGTGGGGGCTGGGAGGGAGGCTTAAGAGAGAAGGGATATATATGTGTGTATATAAATATATATATTTAGCTGATTCAGCTTGTTGTATAGCAGAGACAAACACAACATTGTAAAGCAATTATAGTTCAATTTTTTTTTTTTTAAGTACCATGTTCCTAAAAGGCACTACTCAAATTATTCCATGGGCTTCCCAACCTGTTGAGAAGTAAAAGAGTAAATTTCCACTGGACCACTTTCTACTCATTGTTCCTAGGTATAGACTTTTGTTCATACTCTTTTCCTGGTCAACACTATTCTTTCTCCTTTATTCTGGTTTTCCAGTTATTATTAATACCTTTCTTTCCACATAATATTCCAGCCCACATGGCCATTCCATTTCTCCATTATTTGTTGTTTGACACTTTTAAAATTTTTTATCTTAACTATTTTATGCTATGTTCTATTGTGCAGGTCAGTAAAAGTTCTTGAAGGACCTATAGTATTCTCTTAAATGAATGGATAAATTTTTCAAATTGAACAATTTCTGGGGTGAAGTACATGTACTCTTTGAGAAAGAAAGAAGTCTTAAGTAGTCTGGCCCATGAATGCTGAAGGCAGTTAAATATTTAGGACATTGAAGACCAATTTTAGACATTTCCTTATTTATTTTTCTTAGCTTTTCACTATAAAGTTGTACTATGAAATACCTTTTGTTCTTTTTCTTTGTACCAAATATCAGTGCATTGTAAGTAAATTGCCCACTCAATGAAATAGCCTGTGCTAACAGACAGCGACAATGGTGTCAGAATTTGAAGCTGGAAAATAGAATCTGAAAAAAAGATTTTGTGCTATTTCCAACAGTAAGAGGCTCCACTGGGAGGTCGTTGGTGACTTCAGAAATTGCAATTTAAGAGATATTTCAATGATTTGGAAAACCGAGATGGGATATTTAAAATTAGGACTTTCCTGGAAAATCTCGAATGGTATTCACCATGTTCTTTGATGACTCAACGCTGTGCTAGAATTATGGAGGATACAAAAACATAAGACATGTAATGTCCCTGCTATTGAAGAGTTGACAGTATTATTGGGAAGATAGGGGCTCTAATAAGGAAAATAATAATAAAAGTTTTAATAAACAACACTAAAGAAAATAAAATTCTACAATAATTTTCACCAATAGAATGTGCCAATGCTTTGTATGTAGTGTTTCAGATCCTCACCAACCATTTGAAGGGGGATTATTATTTCCATATTGGAAGATGAGAAAAGGAAGTTCAGAAAAGTTGACTGACATGCCCAAAGTCACAATGTGGAGGTGGGATTTGAACCCAGATTCTGTCATACCCCAAAGCCTGTACTCTTTCCATTCTGGTACCACAGCAGATCTGCAAAGTGACAGTGAAACTACTATTGTTCCTAGTTTAAAATATGTATGCAAAAATTTTTTAAGTGTATGGAAAGAACCAAGACTGATAGTTTTCCTCTTTTTCAAAATTGTCTTTAAATCTGCTATAATGTTTCACACATAAAAAAAGGAACAGGTGACACTGAAGATAGACTATGTTACATTTAAACCACCTACTACTTTGTTGGGTCTTGTTTAATTAGCTTCTTTCCTCTTGCAGGCAATTACATGGAACTAGCAAGATGAATAAAAATAAACTGATTCATGAATTTCTGGAAGTAGTTTCAAGAGGTGATGTGGAACTCATCTGTGACCATATTGCTAAAGTCCATTCCATCCTAGGAAACCTTGACTTTCAGCATCCAAAGACTGGGAACACACCTCTCATTACTGCAGCAGAAGAAAATCTAACAGAGGTAATATGTGGTGTCCAGGGGTCCTCGGATGGCCTTCTAAGTGAAGGAGTCCAAGAATGAAATGGTTAGGAATAGCATAGTCACCTACCTCCAAAAAGGAATGTTTGAGAGCACAAAGCAGGGGTGGGGGTAGCAACTGGAGAGAAGACCGAGAGACCCTAAGTAATCCAGACATCACCATCTTTATTCACTTCTTCACTCAGTCAACAGATATCCCCAAAATACCCAAGGCAATATACCAGACTTCAAGATTCATACCATGGTGGGTGAATCAAATACAGGTGTCACCCTTGAAGAGCAGTTTATGGTCTAGTGGGACCACATAATGGAGACTGAATTTTTCCTTCCTTCCCCACAACCTACACCTAGCCCCATCAGTACTTGGAAATTTGTTCCCTGGTCCAAGAGGTGCACAAAATCCTGAAAGTAGGGGAAGAGGAGTAAATAAATAATGAGATTTAAAGGGGCAGGAAATTTTCCTCTTTGTTGTTGTTATATATCCAGCTTAGAGGGCCTGACACATCTAAGTCCTTAATAAATATTTATTAAATGGATAAATTAATGAATAAATTATCCATTTGTGTCTTATTGATCATTTATAAGATTGTGTATGGAAACTTAAAAGATCCTTTTAAAGAATGCAAGGATTTCCTTGGCAGTCCAGTGGGTTAGACCTCTGCACTCCCAATGCAAGGGGCATAAATTCAATCCCTGGTTGGGGAACTAAGATCCTGCATGCTGAACAGCGAGGCCTAGAAAAAAAAAAAAGAATGCAGGTAAAAGCGGTAGCAATATGGGCACTTGGAATTAAGGAGGCTTCAAGGGGAAGAGAAGAAATAAGTGAAAAGTCAAGACAAATTTCACCCAACTGCATACCTTAGTGCCTCTACAAGTTTTGGGGAGGGTAAATGCAAGTGGATTGTCAACTCTGCTTGCCCATCTTTGCTTCCTCAATTACCCTCTTTCTTGACTTTATTCTTAGCTCTGTTTCTATCTTGACTCCTTTCTATTAACACTTCTAAAACAAATTATAAAGTATAGCATATATGCTTTTTAAAAAATAATAATATTTATTTATTTATTTTCGGCTGTGCTGGGTCTTCGTTGCTGGCTTTTCTCTAGTTGCAGTGCAGAGGTTTCTCACTGCAGTAGTTTCTCTTGTTCTGGAGCATGGACTCTAGGGTGTGCAGGCTTCAGTAGTTGCAATATAAGGACTCAACATATATGCTTTTTTAAAAAAAAGGAAAACCATGACAGTAGCACCATAGTCGTAGTTCTCCTGGCTTTAATTCTGACACCATCCAAAACAAAAAATTAAAGCATTGCAGTGCCTCAAAAGCCCTCTAAATGCTCATCATGAATTGTGTCCCCACACTTCATAATCTTGAATTTTGGGTACACATAGATATTACATTCATTCCTTTTATATATTTAGAGGGAGTTCTTCCCAGGTGGTGCTGGTGGTAAAGAACCCATCTGCCAATGTAGGAGACATAAGAGACAAAAGTTCCATCCCTGGGTAGGGAAGATCCCCTGGAGGAGGGCATCGCAACCCACTGTAGTATTCTCGCCTGGAGAATCCCATGGACGAGGAGCCTGGCGGGCTGCAGTCCACAAGGTCACAAAGAGTCAGACATGACTGAAGTGACTTAGCAGGCAAGCATGCATACATCTAGAGATAGAAGCCTTAAAAATCACTGTAGATTGAACGGCTCAAAGGGCCAATCATGTTATATTTCCCTCTTCACTGTGAATCTTGCCCAAACCTCATTAGCTGAATTCAGATGACTCAGTTCCCCCAAGGGACCTGGCAGGATGTTGACTTGGGAATCTGAATCCAAGTGAGCCATGAAAGTTTGCGTCTCTCCCCTCCCCAAAGTTCACCAACATTTTCATGTGGGTGGCTGCAAACCTCAATGCCCTTGAGATAGGGCAACTGAGGATGAGGTATAGATGGAGGGAAGGATTAGGAACATGGTAAGAGAGAGTGGCTCTAGGCCAATAAAAAAGATGCATATACTTTTAGTTTCCAGAAACATGCTGCTCAGCCAAATGAACTCCCAGTGTTTTTGGTTCATACAAAGGCTTAGATCAGGTGGCAAGGTCATTATTATTGACACCATCTATTTCCCCTTCAGAGATCCCTTGTCTTCAAGGCTGCAGCCATATTGTTTTCTGACTGGATCTGGGGTTTGTAGCCTTTGGTTGACTCAGGCTTAACTTTCACAGCAGGATCTTTTTTTTTTTAAAAAAGGATTCTACCTTGATCTGAATAATTTGCTGACCCATTGTGACAATAGCATTTTGTAAATTTTCACCCAGTTTTACCATTAAGGCCAGAGGAGTTTTCTGGGGCAGTGGGACTAATCACAAGAATTTGTCTAGATTTCTTTGTATCTGTTTCTCTTTCTTTAGTGGGTGACTTTCATCAGCACTATAACCCATTTCAGGCCAGGAAGAACCTGAACTAGTGTTAATTCCTCATTTTGCGGTTTACCACAAACATTTGTCTGCCTCAAATCCCCCCAAAATGGCTAGACCTCCCTTTAAGTAGCTAAAAACCACTGGAAAAAATCTGAGACTGTTTACCTGTCTTGTTCATGGCTGGAGTCTCAGCACCAAAGTCAGGTCTTGACACACATGAGTCCCTCAATCCATAACTGTTGAATAAATTAACCCACTACCATTTTTAATAGAGTTTATTCTCTACCTAAAAATACTTGTGGAAATACCTGAAACATTCAAGAATCTATAAGCCTGAATTTTGGGGTTCTATATTCTAAATTATAGATAACAGTAAAAGGAAGACTTCAACATTTTATGTGGGTTTAACATAAAATATTCACAGACTTTTAGTTAAAAAAAAAATAGTATCCCCAAACTACCCATATCTTGGAGATTTTTGTCTCTCAAATTTTAAAAAAGGCAAATAGCAGTTGTGTTTGCCTTCAAAGTCACTTCAGTCATGTCCAACTCTTTGCAACCCTATGGGCTATAACCTGCCAGGACAGGCTCCCCTGTCCATGGGATTCTCCAGGCAAAAATACTGGAGTGGGTTGTCATGTCCTCCTCCAGGGGATCTTCCTGACCTAAGGATTGAACCTGGGGTCTCTTGTACCTCCTACATTGGCAGGCAGGTTCTTTACCACTAGAGCCACCGTTTTTATGCCTATCTTACTCTCATTTCTTATCTCTCGAATCACAGCTGTGTCCCACTAAATAGGTTTTCTACCCAACTCAGAAGACATGATTGTAAGAATGCTGTGATTTTGCAGGTTGTTGGATTTCTTCTGGAAAAGGGAGCAGATATCACCCTGTGCAATTACAGCAATCAAACCGCAGTCCATGTGGCTAATTGTGATGTCCAAAGACAACTCTTGGCCATCAATGGAATCCAAGCTCCCCAAATGCAACTGCTGCAAAGCTCATGGCAAGGTGATCTTGAACAACTTCAACACTTGCTGGTCAGTTAATTCAGTGTTTGCTTCTGTCTTTGGGTGAGTGGGTGAGACATGAAAAGGGAACAGACTACATATGACTCCTTTTAAAGAAAAATAAGTTATTTTCAAATGCAGTCCCAGAAAGTTTCAGGCAGAAAATATGAGAAAGAAACAGGATTAAATGGGACACTTAGGGTGGAAAACAAGATAATAAAAGAACACAGCAGCAGCCTATTTACATCTTCTTTCTAGCTGGATGGGAGAAGAAGTCATGTAGCACCCCTGAGAAATGAAGTCCTCCCAAAGATGCCCCTGGAGAACCACTGTCAACTTGCTCAGAGGTGTTCCCTTGACATCACTGCCATTTGTACAATTGCTGCTTAGTTCCCTTTGGACCATCTGCAGTTATTATCTTTATCCTGGAAAGGGAATCAGAGAGACTATGCTTTGCATAATATTTAGCTGGGATGAAAGTGAAGAGAATACATTTTTCAAAATACTGTCTTTTTAGGGTATTGATCTTCTTCTTATTTAGATTTTCTGCCCATAGAGACTTTCCAAAGTAACTTTCGAAACCACATGCATAAGCAAGGACATTCATTATTGGCGAACAGGCTCTTGGCATTTACCTTCTGAGGTACTGTCAGATCACATGACCTTCCATCTGAAAGAAAATCAATTGCTGCTAGGAAACAGTTTCTTCTATTCCCTTATGGTAGAGGTGCAAACATATAAAGAAAAAGTTAAAGATATTCTGGTCACCTAGAGTTCAAAGAAATGGACAACAAAATCCAAAGGACTCTAAATTCTTCTGTTGTGCTAAATGCTAGTCTAAAATTGCCATACATCATAAAGTGAGGCTTAGAAATGTTTTTGGAAGACTTTGAATTTCATTTTAATGGCATTTTTGACAATTGTTTTTGTAATTCAATGTCTTTTTTTCATAACCATATTTTTCACTTCTAAAGATAAGCCTCCAAGTTTTAAAAACATATATCTGTAACTGGATCCAGAGCTTAATCAACAGATGTTCAATTAATGTGCTATTGCAAAACTATTCTCTGCTCAAAACTTTTATGTTGGTTCTAACTAATAATAAACATTGATATAAGAGGTGGTTTCTTTTCAGAGACTGAAAAAAAATACTAACTAATTAATTCCCACAGCACCCCTCTGAGGTAATATCATTATCTCTAGTCTGTCCCTGGAGAAACTGAGGTAAATGCTGACTTTATTGACGTGGCATAAAGTGAAATACAGATGGAAATTTGTGAGTTACTTTGACCTGTAAAATAAACAATTTGGATAATTTGGTCTTCTAGTAGTTTCTCAGCTCTGAATTTTCCAAATTAAATTTTACTAAAACAACAAATAGCATCTATATATCCACCTCCATTTGACTGTATAAATACTGTTAAATAAATTACCTTATAATTGTAAACCATTCATTCACTCCACAGATGTTTTCTGAGCGTCTGTCAAACACTCTGCTCAGTGCTTTTCATTTTCTGTCGCCAATCATCAAAACAATCCTGTAAAGAAAATACTGTGATTTCCACTTTACTGCTGAAGACCCTGAAGTTCAGTGAATAAGGTTGCCAGATTTTGCAAATAAAAATACAGGACACTCATTTAAATTTGAATTTCAAGTAAATACCAACTATTTGGTATTTAACTAGCTATCCCTTATTTCTTCAGGGTGATTTTATCAACTTTTAACAGAATGTCCTTGATATAATCCTGTCAGGGAGGTTAAATAACCAATTTAAGGAGCTCAAATTCAAACACCAATCTGTCTGTCTCAGGCTTGTGCTCCTTCAGTTCATCAGCTCCTCTCAAGATATTGAGGAAGAGTATCTTGAAATTAAAGTGAGAATTTGGCCAGGTGATGAAAATGTAAAGATTAGTATTAATGGACATGCAGTAAAGACATAACAGAAATAAAGCTTCATGTTTTTAAAGGCATCTGAAGAGTTCCTGGATATAAATTTCCCAAACCAACATGGCTTGACTCCTCTGATGCTGGCTGTGAGAGATGTGGACCTGTTTGAAAGACTTGATATGTTAACTCTCTATAGACCTGCAGAGGTTCTCTCTGAGCTCCTCAGGCATCATGCGTGAGTATCAGGTGGTTAGCCAGTACCCATGGAAGGGCATCTCTGCCATTGTTACTTACAAAGTCATTTGCAAACCTAGATATATAGATTCTTTATTTATATATGTATACTGTGGTGCTCACTCACATCTGACTGTCTGTGACCCCATGGACTATAGCCCACAAGTTCCCCTGTCCATGGGATTTTCCAGGAAAAAATGCTGGAGTGGATTGCCATTGCCTATCCAAGGGATCTTCCTGACCCAGGGATCAAACCCGTGTCTCTTGTATGTGGATTCTTTACCACTGTGCCACCTAGGAAGACCCTTATATATGTATACGTGTATATATATCATGTATATTATAAAATACCGTATGTATACAAAGATAAATATAATGTGTATACATATATGTATGAAATGCCCATGCATATTCATAAATGGGACTTCAAAGTTGCAAAGTGATGTACAGATATTAGAGGTTGCTATCTATTATTTTTATTATATTGGTCTTTTATTTTATTTGTTTAAATACTTCCTCTTTGGTTTCCTGAGACTGTCAAATAATTCTTGAGTATGTAGCTCTTTACCCCCAAAATGTTATTAATTATTCTAGAACGCATTGTAAATTATCAAAAAAAAAATTATAGTAGTGATTGGCAGGCCAGTGGTTAAAACTCCAAGCTTCCAGTGCCAGGGGCCAGGGTTCAGTCCTTGGTCGGGGAACTAATCCTGCATACCTCATGCTGTGGCCCAAAAAAATTACATGTCAACACTCTCTTTTAGGAGGGAGATAAATATTTCTTTTTTAAATTAGAGGGCTAATAAGCAGGCTTTCATGTCAGAAATGCAGTTTCCTAATGCTGTTGTTGGGTCTTCCCAAGTGGCACAGTGCTAAAGAATCCTCCTGCCAACGCAGGAGACATAAGAGACATGGGTTTGATCCCTGGGTTTGGGAGATCCCCTGGATAAGAAATGGCAACACTCCAGTATTCTCGCTTGGGAAATCTCATGGGCCGAGGAGCCTGGCAGGGTACAGTCCATGGGGTTTCAAAGAGTCAGACACAACTGAGTGACTGGGTGTGCATGCATGCAAGGCTGCTTGTTACCTGTTTATCTTGTCATCAAAAAAGAAGAGGTGGCCAAAGCTCTTCCTCAGTATCTCATATGCATTTTTTGTGGGGAATAAAAAAGGAAGTAGGAACTTCCAAAACAAAAGTATAATCAAGAACATGATCTATTTTAAAAGAATCAGTTATTGTAATAGGACAAAGATGGAAGTCTGAAGCTACCTCAGACTTCCTGTGCATGCTCACTCACTCAGTCGTGACCGACTCTCTGCGATCCCATGGACTGTAGCCCATGGACTGTTGCCCATATTTCAGCAAGAATACTGGAGCAGGTTGTCACTTCCTCCTCCAGGGGATCTTCCTGACCCAGGGATCGAACCTGAGTCTCCGGCACTGCAGGTGGATTCTTTGCTGCTGAGCCATCAGGGAAGTGACCTGAGACCTCAGGTCACTTAATAGCTGAACTTAATAACTTAATAGCTGAGGGAATTATTTAAAATGGAGATTATTGGACATCAATGCAGAGATGGTGTTCAATAAGCCTGAAGTGGGGGCCAGAAGCATGAAATCAAAGAACACCACTCGTAGAAACACTGATCAAGGTAGATGAGCAAACTAGAGATATCAAGGGAACATTTCATGCAAAGATGGGCACAATGAAGGACAGAAATGGTATGGACGTAACAGAAACAGAAGATATTAAGAAGAGGTGGCAAGAATACACAGAAGAACTATACAAAAAAGATCTTCATGACCCAGATAACCATGATGGTGTGATCACTCACCTAGAGCCAGACATCCTGGAATGCGACATCAAGTGGGCCTTAGGAAGCATCACTATGAACAAAGCTAGTGGAGGTGATGGAATTCCAGTTGATCTATTTCAAATTGTAACAGACGATGCTGTGAAAGTGCTGCACTCAATATGCCAGCAAATTTGGAAGACTCAGCAGTGGCCACAGGACTGGAAAAGGTCAGTTTTCATTCCAATCCCAAAGAAAGGCAATGCCAAAGAATGCTCAATCTACTGCACAATTGCACTCATCTCACACGCTAGTAAAGTAATGCTCAAAATTCTCCAAGACAGGCTTCAACAGTACGTGAACTGTGAACTCCCAGATTTCAAGCTGGATTTAGAAAAGGCAGACGAACCAGCAATCAAATTGCCAACATCTGTTGGATCATTGAAAAAGCAAGAGAGTTCCAGAAAAACATTTATTTCTGCTTTATTGACTATGCCAAAGCCTTTGACTACGTGAATCACAACAAACTGTGGAAAATTCTTAAAGAGACGGGAATACCAGACCACCTGACCTGCCTCTTGAGAAACCTGTATGCAGGACAGAAAGCAACAGTTAGAACTGGACATGGAACAACAATTGGGAAAGGAGTATGTCAAGGCTGCATATTGTCACCCCACTTATTTAACTTACATGCAGAGTACATCATGCAAAATGTCAGGCTGGATGAAGCACAAGCTGGAATCAAGATTGCAGGGAGAAATATCAATAACCTCAGATATGCAGATAACACCACCCTTATGGTAGAAAGTGAAGAAGAACTAAAGAGCCTCTTGATGAAAGTGAAACAGGAGAGTGAAAAAGTTGGCTTAAAACTCAACATTCAGAAAACTAAGATCACGGCATCTGGTCCCATCACTTCATGGCAAACAGATGGGGAAGCAATGGAAACAGAGACAGACTTTATTTTTTCAGGCTCCAAAATCACTGAGGATGGTGACTGTAGCCATGAAATCAAAAGAAGAAAAGTTGCAAGAAAAGTTATGACCAACTTAGACAACATATTAAAAAGCAGAGACATTACTTTGCCAGCAAAGGTCCATCTAGTCAAAGCTGTAGTTTTTCCAGCAGTCATGTATGAATGTGAGAGTTGGACTGTAAAGAAACCTGAGCACCAAAGAATTGATGTTTTTGAACTGTGGTATTCAGAAGACTCTTTAGAGTTCCTTGGACAGCAAGGAGATCTGACCAGTCCATCTTAAAGGAAATTAGCCCTGAATATTCATTGGAAGGACTGATGCTGAAGCTGAAGCTCCAGTACTTTGGCCACCTGATGTGAAGAACTGACTCATTTTAAAAGACCCTAATGCTTGGGAAGATTGAAGGCAGGAGGAGAAGAGGACGACAGAGGATGAGATGGTTGGATGGTATCACTGACTCTATGAACTTACTGCAGCCCATGAAGTTGCAAAGAGTTGAACACAACTGAGCGACTGAATTGAACTGAACTGAGCAAACTCAGGTCCCAGAGAGCTAAGTGACTTGCCTAAGGCCATGTATTAAGGTTAGTGGCAGTCCCTTGATTCTTGTACCTATGCTAATTCTTTTGAACCATGAGCATGGAGGGAGAAAAAGCCCTAAGAATATTATTATAGATCATAAAACATTAACCTGGGACTTCTCTGGTGGTCCAGTGGTTAAGACTCTGTGCTTCCACTGCAGGGGGTGTGGTTCAAGCCCTGGTCGGGGAACAGAGATCTCACATGCCACACAGCCAATAAAAACAGAATATGACTAGTGAAGCAAGTCTAGGCATTGTTTCCCTCACTGTAATCTGTAAACAGAGTTCCCATCATTTACCTTCTGGACCTCGTTGAGCTGATGCCTGATTCTCGGATCCATGGCAGGCAGCATAGACAGGAGATTTGCACTGATGTAAGGAACTCTAAGATCAGCCATGGGGCTTAACAATCACAGGACAAGAGGAATGAAAATATCACACAGAGAGGCTCTATGTTAAGATCACTCCACTCAACCAAGAGCCTGTGAAATAAGTATGTCAGTTTAATTCCAAGGTGAAATGCTAGGCCATTCTACTAGCATTATTCTATTTTGAATAATAAAAGAGCTCACTATTAGAGTTAGGAAAAAGAAATATCAAGAATAAGCAGTTAGCTAAAGCACTGAGAAGAAAAAAATCAATGAAGCCAGCTATTTGGGAGGATAAGACAACAGTTTATCAAGATGTTTTTATCTTTACTTGCTTTATGCATTATTAAAGAATTATGAAACTTCTTGTCCAAAGTTGGAAAATTTCAGCAAATTATTAGAATGTTTTTATACTAGAAGTGGCATAAAATTTGCAACGTATTCCTTTCAGTTAAATCTTGAAAATTTGTCTCTCTCTGTCTCTCATACATTTTGAATTCATTACTGCTATCCCCAAACTATATAAAATTATTTTTATTTATTTGATGTCAAAGTTTTTCCTCTCATATTGTTTTTCTTTTTCAATAGATTTAACTCAGTAATCTATGATGTTGATTCTATTCTTTCTAGAGATCCTAAACTCTGTGATTTAAGTGGAAAATCAGCAATACATTATGTATCACAAATAGAGAGCTTCAGAAAACAGCAGTTATTGGACATTTTAATGAATTCTATGCCAAAACCAGGTAAATATTCTTATTTCACTTTTGAAATTCTCTAACTTTAAAAGCCCTATTAAAAAAGAAAAAAAAAGCCCTATTAGAAAACTTTCATTTTTTACATGTATTTGATGGATCCTCTTTAAAAAGTCAAGCTAAATGTATATATATGTGTAACTGAATCACTCTGTTGTACAGTAGACGCTAACACAACATTGTAAATTGATACTTCAATTAAATAAATTTAAAAAAAGAAATCAAGTGAATAGCTATTTATAGACCAGGGACTTTGTACAAGACCCAAAGTTAGGTACTCTGAGACAGGCAAAGAAGGCTAAGACGTGGCCCGAACTTTTGAAAGTGTTCAGCACAGTCAGGGACACACCACATCAGGCAGAAGAGAAAGAGGTTGTTATAAACTTGAAAGGGGAGGAAGGACTTGCTGTGGTTCTCTAATGCTGGATAAAATAGGAAGGAAGTGAAAAGATGTGATATAGGCATGGAGAAAGCATCTGAGCAAGACAAAAAATAGCCACAGAAAAAAATGTGTAATGGAAAAAGTGCCACTGAGCCACGTGTGACTTTGTGAAAACTGCTTGACTTTATTGTCTGATTGGATTTTTGTTGGGAGCTTCTGGGCAGGGAACAAGGCTTTCCCCAGGAAGGTTTCATGGAAGAGGTAAGACTCAATCTGGTTCTAAACAAAATCATGAGATCTGATTTTGTGGACAGAGGCATCATGTTGTAAATGTGCATAGCTCATCCCAGGGGCGAACCGGAGACTAGAACCAATAGTTCATGTCAGGGAAAAGGAATACAGAAGATTAGATACACAATGAAACTGAGTCCATCAAAGACTCCTTAAATGTCAGACTGAAGGACATAACTTTTTTTTTTTTTTTCAGTGAAATAGAGTCACTGACGAATGCTAAGACAGGGAATGATAAAAGCCATATTTTAGGAGAGGAAGAGACTCATGCCAAGCAAGCTCTATGAGGAAACTATAGAAGTACCCATGTGTGGTTGTAAGGATCAGGAAAAGAGACTTTGGACATGGGGTGTAGTGGGCCTGAGAGGTGCTAGGTATGTGAGTTTAAGAGAATGTGAAAGAATTCACAGAATTTAGTGATGTAAAGTTGATAGAGGAGACATACAGACAAGGGTTGAGAGGCTTGAGTTAAACATGATTCCAAAGTTTCAGCTCTAGGAAGTGGGGAAGTACAAATACAATTAACAAAATAGTAGAACACTATGGCTTGGTGCAGATGTTGAAGGTAATGGGTTCTAAAACACTCATTTGATGAGAGTTTGTGACCTTCAAAGTAGCAATTTTCTGTAGGCCAGGGTTTGTGGGAAAGGATTGGATAAGATGGATTAATAGGTTTCTTTGCAAGTTCTCTACAAGGAGACTGTGAGGACCTGAGAGTAGGTGAGATCACTAAAGGATTGATGATGGTGAGAAAATTGCAGGGGCTGGGCAGAGAAGGTACACATGGGCTGAGACATAAGAAAGGAAGGAGGAGAATTAGGAGAGAATTGCAAGAAAGAAGGGGTGGGAAGCAGCATCAAATTGGAAAAGAGTTTACAAAGCAGATGTGATAAGAAAGTGAGGGTTTCAATGGCAGGACGGAAGCAGTAGAAAGGTTGCAAAGAGTGAAGAAAGAAAATATGGTGAAGAAATGCAGGGTATGAGTAGAGATCACTCATTCAATTTTGTATCACTCATAAGATCAGTGAAATAAGATCAATGAAATAGGAAGAGATGCAAGAGGAAGTTTTCACGATAGAGCACATGCTTATCTGAAAAAGTCAAGATAACAGGAGAAGCATATGTAAGAGAATAGTGTCCCCCAGGAACTAATGGGGAATTCATTGTTTGGTGTTCAGAGCTCTGTCAATTTAATGTGGCTTCAAGTGCCAGACAGGAATGGTGCTCCAGGCAGCTAAGCACTTTTGTCTTTGGCAACTATAGTGCAAATAGCCCATTATTAGGGGTTACACTTAACAACATTGCCCCCTTTTTAAAAAACAAACAAACAAACAAACAAAAACGCATTCATTCTGTGGACTCCTTTTGTCCTCACATCTTTTCCGGTGAAAATTATGGCCCAAAGCTTCCTCAGGATCCCAGATCACTATTTCAAGAAAATCTTAAACAAAATGGAACTGATTTTTAGAACCTAGTGCTAGATGTTGCTGTGAAATTGCTGGAGATGCAGCTTATCAAAACACATTATTATGTTTCTTTTGGCAGAAAGATATGCTGAATCATTGCTTGACATTTGTCATTATACAAACTCTTCTCCAACTGATATGATGACAGTTACTAAAAACCAAAATATAATCTTGCAGAGCATCAGCAGCAGTGAGGTAAGATGCTCTAATCTTTAAATAGAAAAACTAACAGAAAAAGGGATAACCTATTGCATCTACATTTACTTCATTTATATCTACTTCATTTAAGTTGCTTGAATATTTATAACAAACATATATTACAATTATATATTTAAATGTGATTATAAGGAAACTTAAAGCACAATTAATCATAGTGCTTCATGAGTTTAATCTCAAGGCAGTAATCAGCTAGTCAATTCTGAGTCTCATACATTATGTGTGTATGTGTATACCACAAAATATTGTTGCAGCTGAATCCATGCTAAATAATAAAATATAGCTTGTCTTTATGCATGTTAATGTGAAAGAAGAGAAAATCATTATTCTGTTCATGTCAAATCCATCCTAGGATACCACAAAGGAGGTGCTTCCTCTAGGTTCTGGTCATTACTCCCTGCCCATGATGAATAACTTCACAAAGTATAGTAATAGTACTAGTAACAAACATTACAACCCATAGAAAACGATGGAATGATTTCCTAAATGTTTAATAAACTGTTAACAGTGGTTGCCTAAAAGGACTGAAATGGAGAAGAACTTTGCACTGTATACTCATTTGTATTTTTTGAATTTTCATAAAATTTAACATAGTCCAAACAGTTAAAAATATTACTACTTTATAGGAATTCCCCGATGGTCCTCTGGTTAGGACTCAGTGTTTCCATGGCAGGGGTGGGAGAGGGAGCAAAGGTGGGGGCCCTGGGTTCAATCCCTGGTTGGGAAACTAAGATCCCACATGCTGCACAATGGTGACAATTTTTTAAAAATTACTACTCTATATTTTATTGGTAAAAAGAATATGACCACAAATGTGTTTATTTTTACAAGTTAATGAGGTATGGACTATAATAGGCAGAAACAATATGAAGAGTTTTAGAGAGAGTGTAGTAAGATCTTTTTGTCCCTTTGTCTTTCCAAAAATTATTCTAAAACAATAAAGAAAACAAAAACCAAAAATTTAAGTAAAAAAGTAGTCTGAAATAACTATGGATTCATAAGAAGCTGTAAAAATAGTACAGAGAGTTCCTGTATAAACTTCACCAGCTTTCCTCAATGGGAATTATTATAACTGTAGCTGATTGTCTAAACTAGAAAATTGACATTAACCCAACAACACAATGAGCTAGACTACAGAGCTTCCTTGGATTTCACTAGTTTTTACGTGCATTCCTTTTTCTTTCTTCTGTTTGTGTGTGCCTGTGTGCATAGTTCTGTGACATTTTATCCCCTGAATCTTCAGTGGAGATACAAAACTGTTCTGTTACCACAAAGGAACCCCCTTACAACACCCTGAATTGCCATGGTCTCTCTGCTAACTCCCGGCAACCACTGATCTGTTCTTCATCTCTATTATTTTATCACTTCAAGAATGTCATATAAATGGCATTATCATACATGCAAACTTTTAAGATTGGGTTTTTCTACTGAGCATAACACTCCTGAGATAGATCCAAGTTGTTTTATGTATGAATAGTTTCTTTATGTTGCTAAGTAGTATTCTATTACAATTTTATTTTGTCCCACAGTTTATTTAGCTGTTCATCTGTTGAAAGACATTTGGGTTGTTTCCAGTTTGGGGCTATTACATATAAAGCTACCATGAACATCCACATACAAATTTTTGTGTGCATTTATGTTTGTATTTCTCTAGGATATATGCCCAGGAATCCAATTAGTGGGTCATTTGATAACTGTATGTTTAGTTTTTTTTAAAGCTGCCCAACAATTTTCCAGAGTGGCTCTAACCATTTTATATTCCCACCAGCAGTAAATGAGAGATCCAATGTCTCTATACCCTTGGCAGCATTTGGTACTATCAGTATTTTTTATTTTAACCATTTAAAAAATTTTTTACCAAAATAGGTATATGATGATAGCTCATTGTGGTTTTAATTTGCATTTCCCTAATGAACAATGTTAAACCTTTTTAAAAAATTTATTTGCCATCAGCTATAATTATTCAAATATTTTGTCCATTTTCTGATTGAATTCTTTGTCTTCTTATTGTTGGGTTTAGAGAATTCTTTATATATTCTGGATGTGTAACTCACAAATATTTTCTGCTAGTCAATGAGAAAAATTTGGTTTGCTTTCTTCACCTTTTTAACAGCTCTTTTACCAAACAAAAGTTTTTATTTTTGATGAAAATCAATTTATCCACTTTTTTCCTTTATGGGTCTTGATTTTTATATTATGTCTAAGAATACTTTTACTTGACCTAGGTCCTGGTTACAGGAGTGTGTTCAGTTTATAAAAATTCATTAATCTATACAGTTTTGATATGTGCACATTCCTGAATGTATGCTATTCTTAAAAGTAAATATACACAATGGGATGAATGCATTTGAATCAGTTCTAATGAGGTAGATGGAACTATAACCTGTTATACGGAGTGAAGTAAGTCAGAAAGAGGAAGATAAATATCGTGTGCTAATGCACATATATGGAATCTAGAAAGATGGTACCAAAGAACTTATTTGCAGGGCAGCAATGGAGAAACAGACATAGAGAACAGACTTATGGACACGGGGAGAGGGGAGGAGAGGGTGAGATGTATGGAGAGACTAACGTGGAAACTTAAATTACCATATGTGAAGTAGGTAGCCAATGAGAATTTGCTGCATGTCTCAGGAAACTCAAACAGGGGCTCTGTATCAACCTAGAGGAGTGGGATGGGGAGGGAGATGAGAGGGAGGTTCGAGAGGAGGGGATATATGTATACCTATGGCTGATTCATGTTGAAGTTTGACAGAAAACAACAAAATTCTGTAAAGCAATTATCCTTCAATAAAAAATAAAATTAAAAAAAAGTAAATTAAAGGGCAGGAGTAAATGCCTTCAAATATCTGAGCAAAGAATATGGTTTTCAATCTAGGATTTTATATTCAGAAAACTATAAATCAAATATTAGAGTTAATAAAGACATTTTCAGACATGCAAAAGAGCAAAGGTTTTACATTTCACATGCCTTTTAAGGAAGCTACTACGTACTCTATTAAAATACGGGGATAAGATAAAAATAGAAGGGAAAATTGGATCCGTGATTCAGGGGATGTGGAACCCAACACAAGAGAGGAGGATATCCTTGGTATAAAGCAGAAAGCAAGTACCAGGGCTTCAACCCATGTATGAAGTCTAGAGAACAAACAGCTCCAATTACTGGGGAAAGGGAGAGGTGAGGAAGAACAGGATAATGGGGATTTCCAAGAAGAAGGTGGAACTGGTATATTATGTGATATATTTAACCATGTGGAGAGACCACTGGAGGTTGGCAAGATTTAAGATTTTTAAAAATATGAGAAAATGAATTAAATATTAAATAAAATTGTGAATTAAATAAAAACAGGGATTTAGGGTTTATCTACAAAAAAAGTTATGCAAGAAAGAAAGTATAATCATACTACATTTCTATTGCATGACTATAGTTAAATACATATGGTATAGTACAATATTCAAATAATCATAATTTAAACTTCACCTATTGATTTTATAAGAAAAAGAGGGTGAATTTATTGGAAGGATGGGGACAGGATATAATAATATTCAATTGTCAACTGCAATAATAAGGCAGAAGGTAATGTATTGCTTTATCTTTTGGGGACAGGAGGTGGGGATTGTTTACCTTTTTTGCTGTTATCACCAGTAAAAAGATCCCAACCTACTCCCCTAAGAGGCTTGCTTGTTTTCGAAGTCACGAGTGAGCCAATATGTCAACAAGGAGAGAGGTGATTATCCTTTCCCCGTTTCTTGCCCAGCCTAACATTTCATCTCCTTCCTCTGGCCAAGTTATTAATAGTAGATGAATATGGCAGATGGGGCTTCCCAGGTGGCACTAGGGGTAAATAATCAGTCTGCCAATGCAGGAGACATAAGAGACATGGGTTTGATTCCTGAGTCAGGAAGATCTCCTGGAGGAGGGCATGGAAACCCACCCCAGTATTCTTGCCTGGAGAATCCCATGGATGGAGGAGCCTGGCGGGCTACAGTCCATGGGGTCACAAAGAGTTAGAAACACCTAAAGGACTTAGCATGCATAGATGGCCATTATCACACCATTTAAGAGTACTTACCTACTTCCGGCCCATTCACTAACAGTAAAGTCCACGTGTCCCACTCTCTCCCCTGTTCTCAGGACACACAGCTACCATCAGGCTCCACAGGGAAGGCCCAGCAGCACCCAAGGCTCTCACCCAGGAATCGCCACCAAGAGAAATGACTACGGTTAACTGCTTTGCAAAGTAGCCTCTGTTCTTCTCAACTTGCAGGGAGGAGAAACAGTAACTACCCCAGTGATAGAACCTAGCTGATCTAACAGTCAAAGCTTTGGGACTTCCCTGAAGCTCCAGTGGTTAAGATCCGCCTTGCAATGCAGGCAACACAGGAGACGAGGGTTTGATTCCTGGGTCAGACACAGGTTTTTTTCCCCTGGAGGAGGGCAGGTCAACCCACTCCACTATTCTTACCTGGAGAATACCGTGGACAGAGGAGCCTGGCGGGCTTCAGTCCATAGGGTCACAAAGAGTGGGACATGACTGAAGTGACTTAACGCAGCACAGCACAGCACATAGTGCAGATCATAGGATCAGGATGAAAATGTCAGTCTTGGCCTTAAACCCTCACAGCTCCAAGTCCAGTGTACCTTACTTTTCCCTTTTACTAATCCCACCCAAACCTTGGCTCATAGACTAACCCCATCCGGACCACGGTACCCATTCTCTGACTTCATCCTCCTGAGTCTGTCCCCAAATTGGCTGCTCCAGAGATTTGCCAGATGAATGAGCTAAGGAATAGGCAAGATATCACTTTAGTAACTCAAGAGACAGCAAGAGGGGACTTCCCTGGTGGTCCGGTGGTTAAGAATCTGCCTTCCAGTGCAATGGGCCTGGGTTTGATACCTGGTCAGGGAGGTGGATCTCATATGCTCACCGCAGCCAAATAAATAAAAATAAAATAAATTTAAAAAGAAAGAAATTGATAAAAGAAAACACACTTACTTTTCATTTTTTTGTGGTATAGTTAGGAAACTTGCTTTTTTTTTTAAGACTAAAAATCCCTTTATATTTAGTTCATTTTTTATGCAGCTCTAAGATATTTTTTGAACTTTCACTGTATATTTTTTCTTATTACAGTTGAAATAACTTTGAACTCATCTTTGAGGGAGAGATAGACTCTCACTATTGAATTTGCTTCTTTCTAGTGCTTTCTCTAGGGTTTAAATAAAAAAAAAAACACCCAAGGTCTTTCTTCACTTCTTTTCTTTGAATGAAAGCTTGCTTTATTTTTGGGTTATCTGCAATAGGTTTTTATAGTTTACAAATATAAGCAGCTGCTTTGCTTGTAGGATTGCTCCTGAGAGGCTCTTCACGGCCTCTGCCAATCTTTTTTTCATCTAAGAAGAATCTTCTTTCCCAATTTAATTACGTATGATTTCTATGCCTTTTTCTGTGTGGTTGGCATTCTGTTATTTGCAGAGTAGAGTGCTATGCTGTCTAGTCTGTTGTCACCTCTTGCATTACTGTGAATGGTTGATGGACTCTATTTATTTGGGATGTGCTATTCTAACATTTTCTCTCCTTCACTCACGGCTGCATTATTTCAATTTTCCTCCTTCACCCAGTGAAAGTGAAAGTTGCTCAGTTGTGTCTGACTCTTTGCGACCCCATGGAGTATCCAGTCCATGGAAATCTCCAGGCCAGGATACAGGAGTGGGTAGCCTTTCCCTTCTCCAGGGATCTTCCAAACCCAGGGATCAAACCCAGGTCTCCCACATTGCAGGTGGATTCTTCAGCTGAGGCACAAGGAAAACCCATTAAAGTCATTCATATTTAAGATTCTAAAAGAAACAGAAAATTCTGAGCTGTTGTTTTTGTCTTCATTTTCATGTTAATCTTCAAAGTAGGTATTATTCCCCATATCCTTTTTGTTTGTGATGCTTATGGTTTTTCAGTTTGTTTTTTAAGGAAGAAGTTTTTTTTGTCAGGAGTTTGTAGGGATCACACATCTTTTATTTTTTCCTGTGCAAAAATTATAAATTATGTTTGAGTATTCTTTCTCTTAATTTTCTCACTATTATTAATTTTCCTTCTGGTTCTTGTTGAGACTCTCTGTTTCAAATTTTTCACAGTAGCAAGAAAGCAGAGTGGTTATGAATTCTGTAACCAGATTTCAGAGTCTGGGTGTGAATCCTGGCTCTACGATAGGCTTGCTAGGTGACCTTGGGTAAGTTACTTAATTCCTCTGAACCTCCTGTATAAATGGAATAATAGTTCCTACCTTTAGAGTTTTTGTGAGGATTAAGTTAGCTAATATGTGGAAGGTTCAACAGTGTCTGGCACTGTATGGATAAATGCTAGTCATTGTTATGGGTTTTGCAGGTAGTTTGTCCATACTCTGCATTGTCCAACTTTTCCTAAAGGACCAACTAATGAATGAACTGAGCAGTTGAGACCAACTGCAAATTATTAATCAACACAGAAACTTGAAATGAGAACCAGTTATATATTTAACACTAAAAATTAGTGTTAATTAGTTTTATTCAGCACAAAAATTTCATTGAAACACTTTAATTATATGAAATGGAAGAAATATATTCTGAAGTCTCATAGAATGTTCCAGACATGATATGAATAAAAATTATATATACTAAGAAGGAAATCTCAGTGGTCACTAAACATCTGAAACTATCTCCAACATTTCTACTAACAAAAGCATGCACATTCAAACAATCAGATCACATATCACATTACTAATAATGAAAATTGATAATTGATAAGGGAGAAGGTAGTGAAACAGACTTATGCACTGCTAGTAGAGAGTAAGTAGTAAGTGTAAATTAACTTTTAAAGCAACGTATGCAAAAAAATTCTTATATTCTTCAGATCAATAATTCCTTATAATTCCATATCTAAGAATCTACTCTAAAGAGATAATACAAAATTGGGGTATTACTTTAAAGATGTTCACAGCTCTATGTGTGATAATGAAGAATTAAAAACTGCCTACTATGCATGATAGGGTTTATATCATAACACTTATGGGACTTACTAAACATCCTTATGACCCTCTGATAAAATTCCATCAAAATGATATTTACTTAGTAAATCGCTATGTAATTTATACTTGTCATAAGTAAAAAAGCCAGATATGAAATGACATGATACAACTCCATTATTAAACACTTAGGAAAAAGAAAGAAAATATCCTGTCTGTGTGAACAGAGTTTGCTTTTTATTTGTAGGATTATAGGTGATTTCTTCTCCTACTCTTTAAAGAACTGCTGTTTTGGTATTTCCATGCATTTTATAAAATAGTAATCCCCTACCACTTATGCTTTGTAATTGGATGGGAGGGAGAAGAAATTTGCCAGAGAGTGGTAGAATTTTTGAAATGCAAAGAATAAACAGTGAAATTGACAACAGTCTAAGATCAGGGCAAACCTGTCCAGGTGTCCCATCTGCCATTGACAGCCAGGATGGTCTGAGGTAGGACCCCTAACCTGTTCTGGGAAGTAGAGAATGCTTTACAAAGCATGTATTGATGTATAAAGTAAAATATGATAACTAAGCTATTATAATTGAACACCTTCCCCCAAGGAGAAGGGACAGTTAGAGAGTTTGGGATGCTCATATACACACTACTATATTTAAAATGAATAACCAACAAGGACCTATTGTATAGCACATGGAACTCCGCTCAATGTCATGTGCCAGCCTGGATGGGAGAGTGGCTTGAGGGAGAATGGATACATGTATATGTGTGGCTGAATCCCTTCCCTGCTCACCTGAAACTAGCACAACATTGTTAATCGGTTTCACCCCAATACAAAATAAAAAATTTTAAAAAAATTCAACACCTAAAATATTTTAATGGTAGTGATAAGTCAAATGAACAAAGTGAAAAGATTCCCACACTCTCTTGGGAATTAGTGAATGAAACATCAGAGGCTTTATGATAGTCTGCTCGCTTGTCCAACAAGCATCTGCATTTAGGGCAAAGACTTTTATCCAATAGTCTGTTTAAATAGATCGTTCATCTGGATCACAGAAGCCAGAATGCTAATTATAACATCCAGGTAGGATGGGATATTATAACTACTACTTGCATCTATCACTGTTCTAGCCACTAAAAGGGGCAAAATCACCAGCAACAACTTCTAATGGAGGAACCTATCAACAACAATGCATTCTCATAGAAAACATTTCTTCTTTAGAGAGTCAGGAATACTTTTCATAAGTCAAGCTGGTTGTTTTTTTTTAAGTTAAGCTGTTTTTCAACCATGTTTTTCAGCAGTTTGATCATTTTCTAGATCATTAAAGGGAAGTTTGAGAAGTTGCATAAGACGATTAGATCAGAAGGCTGTCATAGTGAAAACTTTAATCAGCTTTGCTGCCTCCTTTCAGTCTAAGGTTATATCTGCAGCTTCCATGTGGGGCAAGGATTTCCACCCTCACCATCTGTAAATGATACCCCAGGGAGGCATTATGGAAAAGACCATGTTCCTTTGGGGTTGTTCACTGGCTGTGGCCAAAGGATTCTTTCCGGTTACCCACTTGGATGGAATTGGTGGCAGCTTAACAGCCTGAACACAGACATGATAAAGTATAAAATATTGAATTTCTCTCTGTGTCTATGCAATTTCAGCTTTGATCTTCATCTTTGATTATGCAATTAATCACATCCACGTTTGTCTAAGCCTGGTGCTCTGGAGACAAATACTTTCCCATTATTTTAGTCCTGAATACTTTATCCGATTTAAAAGGAATCAGCAGTGTGAAACTTTAGCCTAGAAAAAAAAAATCAACATTCACCCTGCCAACCAAGTACTACACTAAACAACTGAGTTTCTATTTTATGATATTTCAGGAGTCTGACCAAGATGATGACTGCTGTCATTCCATATTGATTAGTGAAGAAGGAGATCCAAGTAGTGATGGACAAGACTGGCAACCCAGGACAGAAGGTATCCGTCTTCTGTCCTTGATGTGTTTACAAAGACAATATTGATTATTCGGATTTTCCCCCTAATTTCAGTCATGCTCAGTTCAGAGCTCTGAAATCTCGGACAAGCATAGAGGGAAAGAAATCCTCTCCTTCGGTCCATATTTGAATCAGTGAGTCTTGGCGCGCTATCCAGTCTCTCCTTTGTTCTACCCTACTCCAGCTCAACCTGCTGTTCTCATCTCCTTTCTTTTTTGTCTGGTAGCATCTTTTCCCTCACTTCTTTTCTCTCAGAATCTTCCAGCAGCTACAGTGATGTGTTCTCTTCCGTGCATGTGTGCATGCTAAGTCACTTTAGTTGTGTCTGACTCTTGGCGACGCTATGGACTGTAGCCCACCATGTCTATCCTATGGATTCTCCAGGCAAGAATACTGGAGTGAGTAAGCCATGCCCTCCTCCAGGGGAATCTTCCCAACCCAGGGATTGAAGCCACTTCTCTTATGTCTCCTGCCTTGGCAAGCAGGTTCTTTACCACTAGGGCTACCTGGGAAGCATTATTCTCTTCCAGGACCAAGCATTTCTCCATTAGCTGTCATCCCAGACCTCTTCCCTTGAGGGGGGAGTTGGGGGACTGAACAAAGAACTAAAGGCCCAAGTTGCACTCTTGTATTCTAGGAGGCCATAAGTCTGGAATTTTCCAAAACAACACCCATTGCAAATGTGTCATCCTGTCCTATCCTTAAATACCCTTGCATTGAACAGATCACAAGGTATTTACAGATTCTCACTACAGAACATAGTCATCACAGCGATCACATTTGTCTGTCATCTACTCGCCTATAAACTTCTTAAATGAAACATTTATTTGAACTGCTCCAATCTCTTTTCTGGTAATTTTCCTACTTGCATTTCTAACACGCCAGGGAAGCTGCCCTCTTGGATATCTTTTTTCTCATCCCCATTAACCACCCTGAAGGCTGCAGCACTAGCTTAGCCACTGTCTCCTTTGACCACTTATGCAATGCTGCCCTCTTTTGGGGAGCCTCCCATCTTTCCCAAACTCACTCGGTACCTCCTTTCTCTTGGCTGAGGGCAGGGAAGAAATTATGAACACCATGAACCTTGAAAGACCTAATTAAAATAAACAAGTCCTGATCCCCTCCAAGTTGTCCTTGTGATCTGCCTTTGACTTTCAAAGACTTCAAATCTGAGTTCTCAGAAGCCCAATTGTGTCCCAATCACCTTCTAAGAGGTTAAATACTGTGTTTATTCAGCTCAATTTAGAGATGACTTGCCATTTGAGGTGCTTATAGGAATCGAACCTGGTTCTCCTGAATCGTAGGCAAATTCTTTACCATCTGAGCCTCCAGGGAAGCCCCTTCATATTAATAATACTTTTAAAATCAATTTGTATGTAATATTTTAGATTTTCATGTAGGAACCATAACACTTAGGCAGTATCTCAACTAAGTTCTTGCAGTTTTAAGCTTACATAACTTGAGTTATACATTCTAAAGAAGAAATTATGCTTCTAAGTTTTCTTTTCATAGTTGATAAGAGTCTTCAGTAGAGCTAGTAACTCTTTTAAGTCACAAATTCTGAAATAAAAATGTTTGGGGAATTATTGTGCATTGTATTCATCTTAAATAACAATAAATCTCTTTTTACATGCTTCTAACATAACCCAGGTTGTTAATGTTTAAGTGTTTGCACACTTTATAAAGACTTTATGCACATCCATGTGACTATTTGATTGTAGATATGCACATTTAATCATTTAATTTATATCTGTTTGTTCATTGTATTATTCTTTTAAAAAGGAAGCTTCACTAACTAAAATATATATAAACTCTAATGTTTGGATCACTGCCCTGGTCTTTAACAGCTAAATATTCCAGCAACACACATTTGCTTTCTTATGGACTTTTACAGATGATAATTTATAATATACAATTTGCCCCTCACCCCAATCCCTCATCCTTTTCTTTATTATAAAAATCTTCTTGCATTCCTTAATCAGCTATTTTCCCAGAACATATCAGATGCAAACCTTGTAGACTGGAAATTGAGCATGTGAAATTATTCTTTTCGTGAGTGAATGAGAACCTATTTTCTAAAATTACTAGGCTTAATTAAAAAAAATACAGTGTATATCTATCAGGATTCTTATGTGCAAATAACAAAATCTGCTCTACTTGAGTGAAAAGAAAGGAAGTTTTAAAAGTTACTAGAAAAGTCCATGAAAGTGAAGTCGCTCAGTCGTGTCCAACTCTTTGTGACCACATGGACTGTAGCCTACCAGACTCCTCCGTCTATGGGATTTTCCAGGCAAAAGTACTGCAGTGGGTTGCCATTTACTTCTCCATAGTCTATGGAAAAGTCCATAGACTACTGAAAAGCCAAAGGAGAAGAACAGATCCCAGGTTGGATTGTCATAAAGAATTCTTGTAGCTACATCTCAAAACTAGTCATTGACCCCCAGATCACACTGCCTCAGCCACAACCAGCATACACAATGCTTCCACATTGACCTTAGACCCTCCCTCTGCTGTTGACACTCATACCAGCAAAAGGATACCTCCATCTTATCTTCTCGTGTAACTCCTGTGTATCCATCTCTCAAGTTAGCTTTCTGAAACCTAGTGGCGAAAAAGACTGGTAAATGTAGCTGTAAAAAAATCTGTTGAAAATCATGATTTAGGAAACTGTCAAAAGGTAAAGAGGTTATCAAAATATTTTGAACCTTGATTCCCATCCATTTAAACAAAGCAAGTGGAAAACACAGAGAAGTAAGACTTTTCTGGAGAAAATAATTTTTCTTCATTGAATGAATTAGGCTAGGCCAATTAAGTTTTTGTTTTAAAAATTTAGCACTTGTATTAATAATTAATCATCATTTTCTGGCTTTATGAATATCATTTGCCCCTTTTCTGCATGAAAGTTTATGTTTCTGACTGTGTTTAAATGATGCCTCTTAGTTTCTCTCTACTGTAACATTTTCTGGTGGGGTTAATTTGCATCTTCTTACTGAAAAGATGCATTCAGATTGGAGCAAGTGTTTTATTTTCACATGTGACAGTGCATCCTCTTTCCTGGGCCACTCTTAGGTTCAGAGGCTCCTATGATCACTCACAGTATTCAAAAGACAAAACAGAGAATATGTTCCAAGATGATTTCAGTGTCAGAAGGTTTTATAATATCCCTCTCCCCACCCCGTCATTTAGGACCAAATTTTTTTCCCCATTTAGGAACCATTAACTTTTCACAATGTCTAAAAAGTCAGGAATTTCTTGACTAAGATGCTATTGCATCTTAGTTCCTTGGTTTAAAAAAAGAGAAATCAACCAATTAACAAATTTTTAGCTTATTAAATCTACTTGAAAACATCCGTGGTAAAAAAATAATCTAGGTTTATTAGTCCTCAATGATTCTAAAAGGACAGTCATTGTTGAGAACGTGTTCACATGAATATACTGCCCAGTTTTCCAACTTCTATAGCAAAGTCTAACTGTGCCTAGTCTTACAGAGCATCCTTTTCACTGACAACTGAGTTATTAGGAATGTATGCTGCATGTTTTTCTTACTCTAACATGTCAGCTAGGTGTTTGCCCTCAAGGATGACTACAAAAATGGTATGAAAGACATCCATCTGCCTTTCATTTCAAAAGTGGCCATGAGCCCTCACACAACCTCATGTCTATCAGTTTTTTTCATCTCTAAAATGAAGGGTTTGGGTCCGATGACCTCTAAGTTCCTCCCAGCTCTATAATCCCAAGCCTGTCATTTTGTGTTACATAATGTGGTGATAGGATACTTGAAAAGTTAAAAAGAAAGTCCACTATTCCAAGGGAACTTCATTTTTAGAGATTGAAAAAAAAAAAAAACACCACAAAACGCCTTTTGGAAATATTTACTTTTTTAAAATGCACCACTCTTATAAATAACACAAGCATAAATATTTCACATTAAAAATGCTTTCCTTATGGTGGTTCCTATAATTTGACAAAATACGCAGTGTCCTTTAAAAATGATAAAAACTTTCATTGATACGCTGATGGTGATTAAGCTTCCCAGGTAGTGCTAGTGGTAAAGAACCTGCCTGTCAATGCAGGAGACCTAAGAGATGCAGGTTCGATCCCTGGGTCAGAAAGATTCCCTGGAGGAGGACATGGCAACCCACTCCAGTATTCTTGCCTAGAGAATCCCATGGACAGAGGAGCCTGGCGGGTGATAGTCCATAGGGTCACAGAGAGTCAGACATGACTGAAGCCAAATAGCATGCACACACTGATGATGGCTATTAAGTAACTTTCCCAAGGTCACCCCAGAAGTGGCAGAGGAGGGATGGAGACCCAGATCTCTCTGATTCATGACCTGCTCAAATCTTCCCTACTATACTTTGATCAATGGAGCTGATGAAAGCCATGGCTCCTCCAGCATCCACAGACTGAATGAATGGCTCTGACAGATAGATAGATAAGCTGAATACTGGGACCAGCCCTGCATCTTCCTGGAAGAATGTGCCTCTATGTTATACACACACATCACACACTTCTTTCACAGTGCTTATCTGGCTATGCTCTTTGCTTTCTTATTTATAGTCTCTGCTAAGGCCACAGCTGTATCTTTGTTTCTTTATATTTAGCACAAAGAGTTACACTTGGCATATACTTGATAAAAGTTTGTTGAATAGGAAAAAATGAATAGGTGAACATCTTGAAGGACAGACAATTGTGGTATGGTTCACACTAGGTTTTTTAAATTTTACTTAGTTTTTATTTATATATTTATTGATTGTGCTATGTCTGCATTGCCGCCCAAGGGCTTTCTCTAGTTGGGGTGAGTGGGGGCTACTCTCTAGTTGCAGTGCACAGGCTTCTCATTGCAGTGGGTTCTCTTTTTGCAGAGCCCAGGCTCTAGGCATGCAGGCTTCAGTAGTTGTGGTGCATGGGCTTAGTTGTCCTGTGGCATGTGAAATCTTCCTGGATCAGGGATTGAACCTGTGCCTTGGCAGGCAGACTCCTATCCAATGTACCACCAGGAAAATCCCCACACTAGTTTTTAATGTCAATTTGTTTAAGATGCTATTTTGTAGGCATACATCCATTCTATAAGTTGGAACTTTCTGTCTTAAGGGTTATACCAGAAGTCACTACCTGGAATCAGATAAGAGAAGACCAAATGACAAATATAAACAAGTTCCGATAGGGCAACGTAAATTATCTCATTTAATTCTCACAACAGTCCTGTGAAGTAGGTGATATCAGTCACACTTTACAGAAGGAGGCCTTGTTTTCTCCATCCAGGGAGAAAACACTGCTCATCATAAAGCTTTATTTTACTTCTGTAATGTTTTGTTATACAAATTCTTTGCCCTTTAAGCAAGCATTTAATTAGGACAGGAAAGATACAAAGATGGTTAAACCTCAGTTCCTAGTTAATGTTCATCCTGTAATTACTAAAAATACATGAGCCAAATAACCAAAAATAAAACATTTGATTCCTGATTACCCCTGCAATTCATTACTTTCTTCTTATTATTACTGACCTGCACTTCCATAGGTGTTGAGATTATTGTTACTTTTCCGAGAGATGTCAGCCATCCCCAAGAAATGGGCCAAGAAGATTTACAAGAAAACAAGTAAGAAGTATTCTTTGAAAGGTTAGATTGGAATTAAAATATATACTTGTGTGGCAACCCACATTTTTAGTAATTGAGAGAAACATCCCCAAGCAGGGATCATAATAAATAATTTTGTGGCAAGAGCTGGGTAATAAATGTTTTCTGCTGTGTAGGCCATATTGTCTCTGTTCCAATGATTCAACTTGACTGCCTCCGTGGATGGTATATAAACAAATGGGTGTGGGTATGATCCAATCAAACTACCAAAGTGAGATGGGAGGCTGGATTTGGGCCGAGGACCATTAGTTGCTGACCTTGCAGCGTACTACCCAAAACAGAGTTCTAAGGTCCTTCTGTTACCAGTCAATAATGATGTCAGTATAGAACTTGGACATTTAAACCTTTAAAAAGGTGTGTAGCCATTTAGTCAAGTAATTTTATACTTATTGATCTGATAGTGGAAAATTTGAGGCTTATTTTCATGTTTTCAATTTTTGTTTAATTTTTATGGTCATTCACTTTGATTACCTTTTACAAAAGTTTCAATCCACGATGCAATGTAAAATTTTAAATGGATTTATCACCAAAGATAGTTTGAGAAGTACTGGACCTTTGGAGAATGGTCAAAGGCCTCTGGTCAATGCCTTTGCAGAAGTACAAGGGTACACCCCCTTATCTCTGCGCTTTCCCCCTCTGATTTCTCTGCTTGAGGTAACAGACTGGGAAAACCAAAGTGTGAGTGACCGAGGGCTGCTGAGGTGGGGAGCAAGTCAGAGAACGGGGTCGTCTTGTACTGTCAGCAATACTGCCATTCCACTCAGCAGCACCATTTGGAAATAGTCCTCCAAACTTTCCAGGGATGTCAGGTGGGCTAAGAACTGGAGATCCAGAAGACATGGGGAATGACTTTTAAATTAAACCATTTCCTCCCCCTTTTAGTCAGATAACCTCAGGGCATCAGGAATGGACACCAGAACATTCTGTTTCACTTCCAAAAAACATCGAGATGGTGGGCTTCAGGACAAAGACGGTGGCCACGGAGCCTTTACTTGCAGAGAAAGAGGAACATTCCCAGGAACTCTGCAATACGAACTTGGGCTTTTTGTTGCCAAGACCTTACTTAGAAACGATAATCTCCAAGTCTGTAGCCAGAGAAGATGTTCCTCACTTTCTGAAGGGGCAGCCAAGAAAATCTGAAGGTGAGTTCCTTGAATTACACAGTGATTCCTTTATTCTTTGGTCAATAAATATTTCTTTACTCATCTTTTTCTTGAGAATTTGAAAATCTTTACAGGGAACTCATATTTCGTTGATCTTTATCTGTGGGATTTTGGGTGGGCATACAGTGAGGATACTTTCAAGATTTGAGTTAGCTCTTCTATCTAGCCCAAAACTTATTTACCAGATAGCACACTGATCCCAGTGTTTCCCCTTAGGGCACTGCTGTCTTTGATATCTGCTTAACACTGTCCTAAACCAATTGGCCTAAACCACCAGGGACAAACTTGCAGCCCCAAATTTTGCACTTATTGGCTTATTGCAATGAGGGGCATCGCACAACAGAGGAAATGTCAAACAAAGGAGAAAAAAAGCATGATTATGCTAGGATTTGGGTGCAAGAAAAGTGAAGTCGCTCAGTTGTGTCAGACTCTTTGCAACTCCATGGACTGTAGCCTGCCAGGCTCCTCTGTTCATGGAATTTTCCAGGCAAGGATACTGGAGTGGGTTGCCATTTCTTTCTCCTGACCCAGGGATCAAACCTGGGTCTCCCGCACTACAGGCAGACTCCTTACCATCTGAACCGCCAGGGAAGCATTGGGGTGCAAGAGTAGAGCTTAAATGAAATTTTTAAATGAAACAGTGTTTAAAATTTTTTTTATTTTAAATTTATTGCAGTAAAATGTGCATAACAATAAATGTACTACTTTAACCATTTTTAAGCATACAGTTTAGTGGCATTAAATACATTTACACTGTGGCACAACCATCACCACTGCATCTCCAGAACTTTTTCATCTTGTAAAACTGAAGCTCTCCAGCCGCAGGGCTTTTTCTAAATTTATGCTTTCATTATTTATATATTGATTATTTTGGGCTGTGCTGAGTCATCACTGTGACATATGGGCTCTTCATTGCTGTGTCAGGGCTTTCTCTAGTTGCAGAGTGGGGGTTTCTCTGATTGCAGTGCTCAGGCTTCTCACTGCAGGGCTTTTCTTGCTGCGGCTCACAGGCTTAGTTGCTCCGTGGCATGTGGAATCTTCCCAGACCAGGGATCAAACCCATGTTTCCTACATTGGCAGGTGGATTCTTTTTTTTTTTTTTTTTTTGGCAGGCGGATTCTTAACACTGGACCATCAGGGAAGTCCAACACCCATTCAACTTAAACTCTCCTTTCTCCTGTTACCCTATTAGCCACTGTTCTACTGTTCTATCTCTAAGAAATTGACTCTTTTAGGCCCCTCATATAAGTGAAATTGTCAAATATTTGTCCTTCTCTGTCTGACTGATTTCAGTTGACCTGATGTTGAAGCTGTGTTTCGAGAGCCTAAATGTATAAGTCAGCATCAAGCGGGACTGTGATGTAGTCCCAAGGGTCTTATTCCTTGAAATCTACAAAGCTCACTCCCAGCTCTCCACAGCCTCTCTTCCGCCTCCTCTCTTTTCACTCTTCCTCACTGGATGATAAACATCAGCACCATCAAATGCCTTCCATTCCCAGAGCAAACATGTGAATATTTTCACATCCTGTTTTTTCTGCCGGAACATTAAGTCATCCTTCATGTATCCTCTTAGATATGCCTTCGTCTGGGAAGTCTTCCTGAAGGTCCCTAAGACTGGGTGAGTCACCATGCCTTTGGACTCCCATAGGATCCTAACCTTGCCTTCAACCAACACACATCATGCTCAACTGTCAGTATCTTTTTACGTGCTGGTCTTCACCAGATGACAAAGGCAAAACCCATCACACCTCCCCACACAAAGCTCCAGATCTGACACGTAACTATTTTAAAACATATATTGAATTAGTAGCAACAAGAGCAGTAACTATTTATTGAGTGCCTATTATTTCAAGGCACAAATGTCCACTGATATAGCTAATATTAACATGCTTGTTTTAGAAATGAGGCCTCAGGAGGTTAAGTGTATGCTCAGGTCACATAGCTAGTGGGTTGCAGAGGCTGGATTCAAACCTGGACCCCCATCTCCAAAGCCAACATATTTAAGCACCATGTCACATGTGTTCAGAGCTCACAAATCCCATCTGAGCCCCACTTTAATTATGAGGGGAAAAAAAGGAGAAACATAGTTTTGTAGAGGAGGTGAGTTTAGAGAAAAGGAGGGGCAGTTGGTACAGGTACAAAGTGGAGAAAGGATGGATGGAGAGACTGAATTGGACATTGTGGAAATAGCATTTTTCTTGGCCAAACCACAGAGAATCTTAAAAATGTAATAAAAGCAGCACATTCAAACAAAACCAAACTGGGTTAGGTCAGTATTCTGTAATGGGATCTGCTCTATAGGTGTTATGATCTTGTCTGAAAAAATCAGCTGGGCTTACCAGGCTGGTGTTTGTTCTCTTAAAAAAAATTTTTTTTTGTTTAAATGCAATCTTAAGATAATAAATGTTGTTTAAGAAAAATTCAGAAAAGACAGATGAGCAGAAATAAAAAATAAGAAATAAGAAGCACAAATACTATTTCCAGTTTCTTCTAGAATGTAATTCCACATTTTAAAATAACATGTTTATAACTACAGTGCTTGATTGCCCAATGTAGATATTAGGATTTAGCATAGATATTAGGATTTAACAATTTCACATTACTATCTGCACACACGGCAATCTTTGAAATCTTTGTGCTTTAAAAAATTAATATTCAATGTCTCCCTTATTATGACTAGGTAAAATATCATTCACAGCTGAGCCCCAGACTGTGCTTTGATGGCGTTGCTTTTCTTTTGAGACATTCTATTTATCCTGGCTTTAATAACCGCTTCATTTCATCATTTGTTTACTTTCTGTATATCTGTCACTAATTCATCCCCATCCTCTCTAATGCACCTGAGAAATGCACCTCAATACAGGCAACTGCACACCAGGTGATTCACTGGTTTGGTTTGTTTTTGGAGACATTACTCCTGGAACGCTCTGCCCTCCTGTTTAACTCTGTGTTCCTTGGTCCTTGGACCTCCTGACCAGCTGTCTCTCTGGGAGTTCCTCCCTGTGATCCTGGAAGTGCCTCGCCTCTCTGTGTTTGACCCCCGTGTGCTGGGTACACAGCTTGCTCTCCCTTGGTTTATACCTCATTTTAGGGAGGGAGCTTCTTCAGGGAGCTTCCTGAAGAAGATGCATGGATTATACTAATGGTAGTTTTTCACTGTCTCTATTTCCTTTGAGCTCTCTTTCCTTCTGTTTTGCTCTCTATATTTTCATGTTAGAGGCTATCCCCATATGTCGGTTGATCCTTGGTGATTATTGGTTTTTAAGAGGGGGAGTCTAAAAGGTGCCAGGGGCTCACGGGGACTTGTGGAATGGGCAGAGACATGAATGGCTGGGTGAGGGATTTCTCTCAGCTAGTTTTCCAGTGAGAAGAAGAATCCCACTTCTGCCTGTAGGTTATAAGACTGGAGTGTCACATGTCAATGTCGAGGCTTTCATTTATCCTCACATTTTCACTCCAGCACCCTGTTTCTGCTCTCAGCTTTACCTAGCTCCTTAGCATCTTTGTTTCAGGCTCTTCAGAGAATACACTTCCAGTCAGGAATGGAGAAGAGCAGCTCCCAACTAGTGGGGCAGGGCAGGGAATCTGGAATCTACTCCTTGTACAGACTGAAGCAACCCCTTGTTTCAGTCTCACTTGCATCCCCACCTTTAGAGGTATCTGGTATTAATATCTTCAATTCCTGCTCCTTTCTGTGGTTCTCCCTGCTGCAGAGAAAGGTGACAACTCAATAGGTTATTATTTATCCATATAGTTTTCACTGTCCGAAATTTCATTGATGTCATGCATGTGCTACTTTACCCTCTGAGTTTCTGTTGTTGTTCTCCTTTACCTTTTATTTATTTATTTTTTGTTTGGCTGGTGACTTGCGGGATCTTAGTTCCCCAACCAGGGCCCCAGTAGTGAGAGGACTGAGCCCTAACCACTGGACACCAGGGAGTTCCTTTCTTTACCTTCAAAAAAAAAAATTAGTTTACCATCATTTTAATGGAGTTTATGGAGAGACAGGAGGAAAGTTTGTACATTCAATCTTTTAACTCATGCTTTTAATTCAATACTCATTTTATGAGACTGACATGCTATCTACTGTGCTAAGGAGGCAAGTTTCGATACACATTTTAAAAGGCTTTCAATAAATATTATCCCATTAACTACTGGAAAGATCTTACCTCTACATGCTCATCACAAATATAAAGAGTGCCTTTCCATCTCATGTCATTCCTCATCAATACTGGAGAGTATCCCTCTAAATATTTATAATAACTGAAAGATTTTTTAGCTCAGAGGATTGTAGCTATGCAGACAACTATAAATCATATTCAGTTATATTTCTAGTATTATTTTGAAATATCTTTTGAACAGAAAGTCTCAACCTCTAGAATACAACCTCTATGAGGGCAAGAATTTAGACTGTTATTCAATTATATTGTTATCATCTGGGACAGTGTTGGCTACTCAATAGGAGCTCAATAAATATGCTGAATAAATGGATAAAGAATTGGGGTAGTTCTTTGGCCAGCTATGGCCTGTGTCTCTTCTTATTGGGATCTTTTTTTTTAGGTGACCATTTTTTGCGTGACAATGGCTTCTCTCCCTGTGATACATCTCAGAGAGATTTCTTGAAGTGAAATTTCAAAATGTCAGCCTGTGTCTAAAAAAGGACCTACAGATATATATATATATATGTATGTATATATATATATGTATATATATATATTTATATTTATATAGATATATATATGTGGGTTTTTTTTTTCTTTGGCTTTCAGAGTATTTTTAAAAAGAAGGGGAGGGAGATTTCACATAAAGTCTCCAGCCCTCTGGCTTCCCTTGGCATTTGGAAGATCTAGCAGTGCTGGATTACCCAGCCAGAATGGACACCACCAACTGAAACTGGGAAACAGATGCCCCAGTAGTTGGGGCACATGATTTTAGTTCACCACTGTCCCTACTTGCCCCACTTCATCCATTTATGTGCCTTCTTCTACCCACTCCAGTATTCTTGGGCTTCCCTTGTGGCTCAGCTGGTAAAGAATCCACCTGCAATGTGGGAGACCTGAGTTCTATCCCTGGGTTGGGAAGATCCCCTGGAGAAGGGAAAGGCTACCCACTCCAGTATTCTGGCCTGGAGAACTCCACGGACTGTACAGCCCATAGGGTCACCAAGAGTCGGACATGACTAAGCTACTTTCACTTCAACCCTGAACATATTTGGAGCCTTTGGCTTCAGCTTTAAGCTGTGATGGTGAGTGGGGTTTTAGGGACCATTCTGATGTTTTCGTAAGAAGAAAACAACTAGGTTTTACCCTTCCTGGTAAATTGCATCTCTGCACCCCTTCGTACTTTATGCTCTATCCCATATTTGAGTTCAAACAACAGTTGCTAGACAATAATACGTAAATATTTTCACATTTCTGTGAAGTCTGGGTTTTCTGAGTAAAAAGCATTGGGAGACCAATTTAAAAAATGATTGAATGACAAATATGGCTTGGAAATTAAAGATAAGATATTGCTTCAGAAAGATCAAGGCTGATTTTGCCAAATGCCATTTGCTTAACTTTCTAGGGTAAGAAACAAACAAGACCCAGAGGCACATTTCCCCTTTTTCCTAGGGACATTAGCATACATTTCTTAGTAAAGGTCTCTCTTTTTTGGAAGGGAAAGATGGTTCGAACTGCCAATACTGTGTGTAAGCTCTGAGTCTCATAATTTCAGGGTCTCCTCCTGTGGGACGATCTCACTACCTGTGCAGGGAAATATCTGGTTCTCTTTGCGCCAACTTGCAGGGAGGTGGGTGCAAGGAGCTGGCGCTAGGATGACTCATGGGTAATAAATGCTCTGTTTTCCGATCCAGAGGGCGTGTGTTTCCAGAAGGAATATAAATAAAAATAAATAAATAAATATCACACTATGTGTGTACAAATGTTATAAATATAAAACATATGTATAACATGTATTTATATAAAAACCATTATATTTTTAAAAAAACCATTATATTAAAATAACTCACCCTTACAGTGGCAGTAGTTTTGTGTGGTGATTCCGCATCCACCTCCATGTAGATCACATCTGGAAAAACTACATTTTACCAACTTTTCCTCACACCTCAGAGACAGGATCACTCCATCCCCTGGCTTAGTGCTGACTGTGTTCACTCTACTACTAAGAATACCTAATAATAAGTACTATCATTTTTCTTGTTACAGAGTTTTCTACCTCTGACATGAAGTATAGTAGCCGAAGAATTGAGGTAAGAGTAGTTTTGAGCATTTTTGACTTACGAATTAAAACCAAAGAATCTTGTCAGAGACAAATTCTATCAAAAAACTCAGAACCAAAAATCCTCACCATATAACCTTGGAAAAACAACAACGCACATATAGTTTATAGAGGAGCAAATAATTTCTGAGAAAATTATATCTTGACATGTATATATATTTTCTGGGTATAGCTCTCCACATAATGAAGTGAGTAGCTCTTTTGGACATGCCTAATTTTTCTTTTTTTTTTTTTAATGTATTGAGAAGTTAGGTGATTCTTTTTCCATGGTAGAAAGATTTTCCTGGCTGTCTCATTTGTAAGTAAAGCATTTTGAAAGAGCCTTGTGATTCTCCAACTGTCTGACTCGTCTGTATAAGTCTTTGAGAAAACATATATATTGCTTAGTGTTGAAAAAAAAAAAGTTCATTGACCAAGAAAAAAAAAAAAGGCTGCTACTAGGGAGATGTTTAAAGCACTGGAAGAATCTGCTTCTAATTCTGAGAAGTCATGTAGGCAATAAAACTGGGGAATTATACTGTGTCTCTCCTGTTTCTAATGCCTATTTCTAGTCAGATTTCTTTTCCTTTCTTCTTAACGCCGGTGGCAACAGAATGAAAATTAAACATGTAGCTCTTAATTACCACTCATGATCTATGCTTTTCTATGCTATATTATTAGGTATAAAAATCTATATACACAAGGCCACAGTGAAATGTGTAAAGAGTTTATAGCTTAACTGAGCAAAAAGCGGAATATTATATATTGGGTTACACTGACCTCTAGAGGCTGATAATAATATAAACTAGCTTAATTTGAAAATTAATTTGACGTGAGTTAGAGTAAACTCTGGGAGTTGGTGATGGACAGGGAGGCCTGGCGTGCTGCAGTCCATGGGGTCACAAAGAGTCAGACATGACTGAGAAACTGAACTGAACTGAATTTGAAAATTGTTGGAAGGCCAAGGAAAATTTAAAAATTTAGTGAGCTAACTTTCTCTTTTTAGATTTTTTGGCCACACTTCAAGGAATGTGGGAACTTAATTCCCCAGCCAGGGATTGAACCTACACCCCTGGCAGTGGAAGTATGGAGTCCCAGCCACTGGACCATCCAGGAAGTCCCAGGAGCTATCTTTCAAGTGTATAGCATGGCAGATTTATAAGCCACCCTCAGCAAAACAATTCAGCCAAGCCATGAAGAGTAGTTGTGTTCCATATTAAAATTCTGAGTTGGTCTGAATGATCACAGAGTAAATGTAACAGCAATTTTAAGCTGTTCTAAGTGGGAATTTAAAGTTTTGGATAAATTCCATGGAAAGTAAACAGGAAAGAGAATAGATACAAAGTAGAAATAAAATAGAAGGTAAATAGAAATGACAACAGAAATCTTTAAAAATGTAAATGTTTTTTAATTTATATGATAGAGACTTTATTTTTAATAGATAAGCATGAATCTTGTAATGCTAATATTAATATCAGTTTTTAAAAGTATTGTCTTACCTTGGTCCTAAGAAAACACCAGGAATGAGATTTTAGTTTTTAAAATTGTGATCTCCAGGATAACTTTGTACTTTAAAGCCCTTCCTAAAGAGAATCTTAAAATCTCTTCACATTACTTGAAACCAGTTGACATGAAATGCATATGTGTTTCTACATTCATTAATTTTTCTTTCTTTCCTTTTAGTTCCCTCTGCCACCGCTATCATCTCTGCCCATGAGATCTGGTCTCCTTACTATACCCCTAAGTCACAAGGATCAAAAAGCAAGGGAAAGAAATATTCCACATCTTGTATCTTTCATACCTAAGTTCTTGGAGCCTATTAGTCAATCTGATGAATTTAGACCATCAAATAAGCAGAAGGAAGCACCGTTCAAGTTGTTAGCAGATCAGACTCTCAGATCCTTTGACAGTTCTATTTGGTCCAGAAACATGTGCTCTTTTTGGAAGGCTCACCATCACAGACAACACCTGGAAAAGGGGGGGAGTAGGGAATCCAAGGAAAGAGAAGGGTGTGTCAACATTGAAGTCTCTCACTTTGAAAAAGGACAATCTTTAGTGTCCTTGGAGAATTTCAAGGAAGGCAATTTTCCTACAGATAGGGAAGAGGATATTGACTGCCATGGTAACGAACTGAGAAGAGCAGAAGAGAACGCTCCATCTCTTTCATCAGGAAAGAAAGAGGATTCAGTAGCCAGAAACTATGAACAAGATTCAGAAGTTGGATACACCAAGCCAATCAAGTTCCAAGAAGCCCTGCCATCAGATATAGGTCTAAGGCAGGATGAAGGTACTAAAAATGATAAAGCTGATTCAAAAAGTGCTTCAGCACTTAAAGGTGAAGCAATTGAACTAGACCATATTTCAGAAGATTACACTCTTCTTAAAAGTTTGTCTGATGCAGTCACTGATGGCCCCATTGAAAAGCTCTCAGAAGATCACAGCAGCATGGAGACAAACACAAAAATGTCAGTAGCAGAAACAACCAAACCAGAAATGAATGGGATGGTGCCTCTTATCCACATCACTTTCCCTGGAGGTGAAACTCCCAAGGAACCAGCAATAACCAAACCAAGCCTCCAAAAACGAAAGGGCATCCCTCGTAGCAGTAGTAGCTTCAACATACTTGCACACCAAGAAAATGACAGGCATAAGGTGAAAGCCCAGAGAAATAAGTTAGATTCAAAGACCAAGACCAGTAACAGGACACCTCAAAATTTCATGATTTCCACTAAAGGTTCCGTGAAGCCTACCATGCACAAAACCAGTATAAAAACTCAAGTTTTTCCTGCTTTGGGTCTTGTGGATCCCAGACCTTGGCAACCACCCAAGTTTCAAAGGAGACTGCCACAGATAGAAAGAAAGCAATCTGCTTACCAGGCTTTGAAACCTAAAAAGCCATCATTCCCTTGCCTCTATAAAAATCCAGGAATAAAAAAGTCTTCTGTTCCTCTCTCTGCTCAACCAGCAGAGCCAAGACTGAATTACTTAGATCTGAAGTATAGTGACATGTTCAAAGAGATCAATTCAACTGCGAACGGGCCTGGAATCTATGAAATGTTTGGAACTCCTGTTTACTGTCACATGCGAGAGGCTGAACGGCATGAAAACAAGTATCACCGAGAGATATGCTCAGCTCCATCAGGCAGATGTATCACCAATAAATGTCGATCTTCACACAGTGAGAGGAGCAGCAATAGCCGAAACAGACTTCCTCAGAAAAGACCTCATAGTAAACCCCCCAAATCTTCTCTTGGCATTAAACAAAAGCACAGAAGTTTAATTCCTAAAGAAAAGGATTGTCAGGCTGTAGGTAGCACCCTACAAGATGCTGAAAATGGTGATGGCATATCAGAACCAGGGTGGCAGATTAAGTCTTCAGGAAATGACTTTCTATCTTCCAAAGATGAAGTTCAGCCCATGAACTTGGTTCAAGCTCATGAGCAGTTCACTGAACAGAATGATTTCTTTCCTGTCTCAGATTTGTCCATTATTGAAGAAGTCTCTATGGAAGAGTCTGCTGATGAAGAAGACATTTCTAACAATCAGATACTTGCCATGAGCCTCAGAGATCTGCATCAACTTGAAGAGCTATGCCACCAGACCCCATTTGTCCTTTCAGAAAACAGCTGGGCAGTACCCAGTGAGAAAATTTGCAACATGCATGTACTGCAAGAAGAGCAGAAGGTAGCATCTCCCCGTGAAACAAATGGCAAGCAAATTTTAACTAACGGTGTAGACTTTGATAGTTTTTCAGATAAGCTGAAAACTCTTAGGAGTTTCTCTTCCCAAGAGAAACAAGGAAGTGTAACTTCTCAAGCATATCAACACTGGGCACTGTTTTTGGATCATGATAGTTTAGTTAATGGGTCAGTTCCGTATCAAACACTTGGAAAAACTTTAAATGATACAGATTCAATGTCCCAAGAAATTCTAGACTCTGTAAAGAATGAAGAATTGACAGATGAACTCTTAGGTTGTCTAGCTGCAGAACTATTAGCTCTTGATGAGAAAGATAACAACTCTTGCCAAATAATGGCAGATGAAACAGATCCTGAAAGCCGAGATTTTGTCCTCAGCAAGAGAGGAAATATCATGCAAGAATTAGGTAGAGAGATAACAAATGTCAAAATACAGGTTGGTATAACTAGAAATCGGGCTTTCCTGGTGGCTCAGCAGTAAAGAATCTGTGTGCAATTCGCAAGACCTGGGTTTGATCCCTGGGTTGGGAAAATTCCCTGGAGGAGGGCATATCAACCCACTCCAATAGTCTTGCCTGGAAAATTCCATAGACAGAGGAGCCTGGCAGGCTATCGTCCATGGGGTTGCAAAGAATCAGACACAATTGAGTGACTAAGCACAGCACATCATATAACTAATAATCAGAGATTCATTGGGGTGGGAAGGGACCTCAGAGACAATCTGCTTCAAACCCCTTATTTTCAAACAAGGAATCAGAAACCCTAAGGAGTTAAATAGTTTCATCAAGGTGGCATTGTTTGGTTGCAAGTTTGGAATCCAGGTCCCCTGACTCTCATGCTGTTTCATTATGCTGCTTCACTTCTAGAATTTAGCTAGCCTGATACTGCACTGGAATCACTTTGGGCACATTACTGTAGCAAAACTACTTACTAAAATAGGTAGATATTATATTTGGTGATGCTGTTTTCAATCAACAAGTAATAGCTGGGAGATAATTGTGGGTAAAGCATTACTCTAGGTGGTGTGTGAGATACACAGCCCCTGAAGTAGCTCACTATCTAGTTCCAAAAAACATATGAAGACACGAAAAGATCTTTTCTCAAAGATTCCCTGCACCTGAGCATTTGTTGCCAAATGGTTTACTTTAATACAAAAATATTATTGATGCCTCCTATGTCCCTGGTATTAGGATAAGAACTAGAGACATGATAAGGTACAAGACACAGCTATTGCTCTCAAGAAAACATAAGCAATAATCCTGAATACATTAAAAAAATTTGTTTGGCATTGGAGTTGGGATGGGGAGAAGAATACTAACAGGTGGTAGGGTTATGCCTGTTTTAGTTTTCACTGAAGTATATCACCCTCCTGTTGTACTAAATTTTTTTTAAGATGAAAGTTTTTGTTTGTTTGCTTGTTCTTACCTACCCCAACAGACTTGGAGTTTGTTTGTTTGTTGGCTGCACCTTGCGGCATGCAGGACCTTAGCTCCCTGATCAGGATTAGAACTCACACCCCCTGCTTTGGAAAAGTGTGAAGTCTTAACCACTGAACCACAAGGGAAGTCCTATCTTCTCCTAAATTTTAAAGATAGAAGCATTCGGTTTAGCTGAAACATCATTCATTAAACACTAACTAGGGTTATATCACACTCTTTCAGGATCAGAAATAATTATTTTAAATAACTGAACAGAAGAATACACAAGGTGAGAACTTAACACATATGAGTGAGACACATTATACTGTCTCCTTTCTGTCTTCATAATAGCTCCATGAAGTCAGTCCTGAAGGTAATAACAAGTCTCTATTTTGCAGATGAGGAAAATGAGGTTTAGAAGGTCTCACTGGGAGTGAGCGGTGGGGAGGGGCATCCTGATTCCAGCCCAACACTTTTAATCACTATACAGTGGGAATATTCCTTGTCATAAAAGGCCAGCTCCACCCTCATGGTGAGCTTGGTCTCTGCTGGGAGGTGGATAGTGATGCAGAGAGGCTGCCAGGCGTGGGTAGGAGACAGGGGTACATGTGTACACGCCTGTGTGTCTGAGATCGCTCTACCAGTCTGCCAGTTCACATTCAAGAAAAGCTAACAAGCTGGTAAATATAATCAGCACATAACCCTACCCTGCAATTGGAATAAAGAACTGATCTTCTGTGATATTTCATTTCCAAGCAGTCCTTAAATTTCAGTTTGAATAAGAAACATGAGAGGCTGTGGAGGAGGAAATGGAACCCATGTGGCCCTTTGAAGGCACCTGGGGTCATTTCTAAGGAAGGTGATCATGTGCCATGTCCTATTCTTAAGGACCTCCTCTGTGCCTCTACATCACCATCATCATTTATTTTAAGAACTCATAGAGGAGATCAAGACCAAGTATTTTTGGTTCTGATCAAACAGTTGGAAAACGTGGTGTAAGCTCTACAAAGATACTTATTTCCCAAGGGCAGGGCCTCTAAAGGTTTACTGTGGATACATATCTCTTGAGGATCATGTTGAAATGTAGAACTGATTCCATATCTCTGAGGTCTGAGATTCTGCAAGTTTAATGAGCTCCCATGGGATATTGATAGAGCTGGTTCACAGATTCTCCTTTGAGTAGCAAGGGTCTAGAGGACCATGGATCTTCAGTCTATTGCAGCTGATCTTGACCTTCAGACTTGCTTGTTATGCTTGTGCATGCATGCATGCGTGCGCATGTATGTAAGAAGAAAGGTTTAGGGAATTCCCTGGGGGTCCAGTGGTTAAGACGGCCAAAGGCTCTGGTCCAACACCTGACTGGGGACCTAAGATGCCACAAGATGTGTGGCACAGCTAAAAAAAAAGAAGAGAGAGACAGAGTATCTATATGTATGTATATTTGTGTATAAATGTGTGTATGTGTGTGTATGTATATGGAAATGTAGGTATAAATGCTTTTATGTATGTATGTTTGCGTGTATGTGTGTGTTGTGGAAATAGAACAGGCAAAGGCTATTTATTCAGAGCTCATTATAGCAAAGGAATCAACCACCATCATTTGTATTGATAGAGACTCAAAAGCAGACAGATGGGTGAGAAAGATTTTTAGTGGAAAAAGGCTTCAGGTGTGCCCTGATTGGAGGCTGTTGTCCTGGGGCGGTTGTTGGGGTGACGATTAACTAGAAGGGGGCTCCCATGTGATTGGTTAAGGGTGCATATTTGGCCTTCTCTGATTGGTCTGAAGTTAGAAAAGGAAGATTCTCCTATCTGCCCTTTCTCTCTGTCCCAAGGACTCAATGTAATGATGACTTTTTTTGGTCTCATTCTTCCAGAGATATAGTAATGGCTTCAGGAGATATGACAAAGAGGAGAGATTTTTCAACTCACATGAAAAGAAGACATTTTCTGAAAATAGTTTAAAGTATGAAGAATCTATCCTGTGGACCAAGGGTGAGATCCTCGGGAAGGGAGCATATGGCACAGTAAGTGAAACAGGAAGCTTGCTGAAATAAAAAATCCCCACTCCTCCTCGACCCCTCCCTCTTTCCTAATCTTCCTGTTTGCCCTCCCCACTCCATATACTCTTTTACTTAGAGATCTTTCAGTTAGAAGTAATAGGAAACCCAACCCAAACCAGCTTGAAGAAAAGGATGTCCACTGTTTTATGCAACTGAAGGGTCTGGAGTAGATCTGACTCTGGGCATAGCTGGTTTCAGAGGTCAAACAGTGTCATCAGAGTCTGGCCTCTCTGTCTCTCCTTTTGGCTCTCATTCTCAGGCTTCATGGGGTGGTTTCAGTTCAGTTCAGTCGCTCAGTCCTGTCCGACTCTTTGTGACCCCATGAACTGCAGCACGCCATGCCTCCCTGTCCATCACCAACTCCCGGAGTCCACCCAAACCCATGTCCATTGAGTCGATGATGCCAACCAACCATCTCATCTTCTGTTGTCCCCTTGTCCTCCTGCTCTCAATCTTTCCCGGCATCAGGATCTTTTCCAATGAGTCAGCTCTTTGCATCAGGTGGCCAAAGTACTGGAGTTTCAGCTTCAGCATCACTCCTTCCAATGAACACCCAGGACTGATCTCCTTTAGGATGGACTGGTTGGATCTCCTTGCAGTCCAAGGGACTCTCAAGAGTCTCCCCCAACACCACAGTTCAAAAGCGTGAATTCTTTGGTGCTCATTGTATTTCTGGCCTCTCCTTCTCTGAGGGTCAAGTTCTGTGGGAAAGAGGTCTTTTTGTTCAACAATTCAAGTTATGTTACCCAAAGTTGGGAGAGCCATTGCCAAGAAGCAAAAACAAAAGATATTTCTTATACTTTGTGAATTGCATAAAATACCATCTAAAGTCCCAGCACTTTACTGAGAGTGGGATATATGTATATGCAAAGCTGATTCACTTTGCTATACACCTGAAACTAACACAATATTGTAAATCAACTACAGTCCAATAAAAATTATTACTCCAAAAAAAAAATTTTTACAAGTCCAAGCACTGTACATGGTATTGGGTTGACCAAAAAGTTTGTTTGGGTTTTTCAGTAAGACGGTATGGAAAAACCTGAACAAACTTTTTGGCCAACCCAATATTTGCACAGATTGCTAGAGATGACTGAAACTAAGCTATTATGATATGCATTCACCATGCTACTTATCCCAATCTTCGCTTCCCTGCAACTTTCAATTTGTTTAAGTATAATACTTCACATTTACATAGGGATGTATCATCTTAGAGAAAAACCAGGGTTTGGGAGGCATTTTGTGAATGAGTCATTGTTTATACTTAATAATAAGGTATTGGTTTGCTTCTAGGTATACTGTGGTCTTACTAGCCAAGGACAGCTAATAGCTGTAAAACAGGTGGCTTTGGATACCTCTGATAAATTAGCTACTGAAAAAGAATATCGGAAACTGCAGGAAGAAGTCGATTTGCTCAAAGCCTTGAAACATGTCAACATTGTGGCCTATTTGGGGACATGCTTGGAGGAAAACATTGTAAGCATTTTCATGGAGTTTGTTCCTGGTGGCTCCATCTCTAGTATTATAAAACGTTTTGGGCCATTGCCTGAGATGGTGTTCTGTAAGTATACAGAACAGATTCTGCAAGGTGTTGCTTATCTCCATGAGAACTGTGTGGTGCATAGAGATATCAAAGGAAATAATGTTATGCTTATGCCAACTGGAATCATAAAGCTGGTTGACTTTGGCTGTGCCAAGCGTTTGGCCTGGGCTGGCCTAAATGGCACCCACAGTGACATTCTCAAGTCCATGCATGGGACTCCATATTGGATGGCCCCAGAAGTCATCAATGAGTCTGGCTATGGACGGAAGTCAGATATCTGGAGCATCGGATGCACTGTTTTTGAGATGGCCACCGGGAAGCCTCCACTGGCTTCCATGGACAGGATGGCAGCCATGTTCTACATTGGCGCACACCGAGGGCTGATGCCTGCGTTACCAGATTGCTTCTCAGAAAACGCAGCAGACTTTGTGCGCGTGTGCCTCACCAGGTAAGAAACTGAAAGCAAGAAAGGAGGATAAATCCCCAGAGATTTCAAGCAGTTGACATTTCCCCTGAGATTCATGGCCCATTTTTAGCTCTGCTCAGGTTACAAAATCAAGTGGGGAGTGATTTTGCTCTGAAAAGAATCATGAGTAGCCACATTGGATGATGTGTTCTGTGTTGTACCAGGGTATGGGGGTAATGCTTCAAGTGGAAAGTGTCTCAATTAAATGTCTTATCAGGTCCAGACAGTACTTTCTCAAATCAACGGATGTGCAAGAATTGCTATTTATTTGCAAGATCTGTTTCTTTACCAAAGAGACATCTTCCCAGGGACTAGCCATGGTGAAATGGCATCATCTGTGCTTAGCTTCCCTCCCCTTTTGGGGAACCAGTGTTCTCCTTCCTTCCTAAAACTGGCTCTCAGGAAAAGTATGTGAGAAATTCATTCATATCAAGGAAATGACATGAATTGATTAATCGATGATTGACAGATTTAATGTATTGTTCCCCCAGAAACACTTGCATTTAAAGTGAGAGGAAACATTTTCAGTCAAAGAAACAAATCTCTAATTGAAGTATTTCAAGTATCAAGTGGGTAGTGTTTGGGGAAGCAGAAAAGTTCCAGAAGGTCACCTGTTTTCTCCTGCCCTGAGGCTTCCTGGTATTTATGGAATAAAATTCTGGTTAAAATGTTAGGACTGTAAGGGAGTTGAGAGACTACCCCCTTTTGTAGTGTTCTAACTTTTCTTAGCCAGGTACTCTCTGCTTACATGAAGTCTTAATCCAAAGAAAAAGCAGAAAGGCAGAGAGATGGGTTTGGTTGGTGTGTGTATCTCTATGCGTGTATGGGTAAGGTGGACGAGAGCTGAACAGGAGGGCAGGGCTGCTCAAGCCCATCTACCTACCTGATGGAGAACAGCATCGAGGAGGCTCAGCACTGACCCGCATGTGCAGGATAAGGGAGGCCTCATACCCAAACACAATTTCTTGCCTTTCAAAGAGATATACTTTCTTATTCCTAGATGAAAAATTCTAGTGCCCCAGCTTTCAGCAAATATATATGGCTACCTCCAGCTCCCTTCCGGAACGAGTTCATTTTGTCATTCTCAATGAATATTCAGAACCCAAGGATCTCTGTCTGCTGACGAATGTGTCTCTCTTAGCCCCTCTGTCTTTCTCTTCCAGCACCTGTATATCAATCAGTCTGACCTGGTTGATTTGACAGACTCACAGGGGCCAGGACAGCAGCACATACTCCAGGGTGGGGGAGGGGGGGTCCTGCAGTTCTGGGCATCCCCAGATGCAGAGATGCCCTAGGTATCCCAGGATGGATTTGCAGGCAGAGCTGTGGGCACAGAGCTGCCCCTTCCTGTCTGCCAAAACACTTCACAAAAGGGACATAAATGTTTTAGGAATATCATATGGACCAGTCCTAGTTTGGAAGATTGAGCTTACCTCTTACTTACTGTGGTTACTTTCTTCTGAATTGAACAATGATCTATTATTGATCCACAAAAACTGCTTGCTACTCTCATTTTTTTTTTCAAGTTCTCATTATACACACAAACAACTTTAAAGAGAAAGGGTGGGAGAAGGAAATGGCAACCCACTCCAGTATTCTTGCCTGGAAAAGTCCATGAACAGAGGAGCCTGGCAGGCTGCAGTCCATGGGGTTACATGACTGAGCATGTGTGCATGAGGGTGGAGGGAGATGGGTTGGTAGCAATAAACTGGTAGAACTAAAAATAAATAAATAAATAAATAGAAAGGGGTGGATTTTTTCTCTTTTTTTTTGGCTTTCCTTTTGAACCATTTCTTCATAAACTAAGCAATACACAACTCATAATCAATTAACAGGGGTTGTTGTGAAGGTTAAGTGAAACGGTGTGTGTAATTGCTTAGCATAGCATGGAGTACATAATTAGGGCTCCACCATTGAATAACCCATGGGAGAATGTTAATACACCTTACCTAATGAGTGTCATGCAAGCATATAATTATCTCCTGAAATTCTATGCCAAAGACCCTGAGGACTCTAGAATTTTGCCTGTTGTCTATGAAAATAACTCCTTGGAGGTGTGGATATTTATAAATAAAAGGGAAAGGCACTCAAAGATTCACAAGTAGAGATGATCAGGTTAAAAACTAGGAACAAGGACTGAATATAACAAATGAATTTGGGGAAGCCCTCAGAAGAATGGCTCTGGGTACTACTATGGGCAGGTTTCAGAAATTCTGGGGAGTCAGACCAAGGAGTTTAACTTTGTTGGAACAGGCAGTGGAGAGCAGGGAACTATAAAGAATTTGGGGTAGAGGACGCCATGAAAAGATAGGTCTTTGGGGAGGAAGGTCAGGTAGCAGATTCTGTAGAGGGACCTTGAATGGAGGCCATTCTGGAATTCAGAGCTTGGACTTTGATGGTAATGGAAGCAGTGGGAGTGTAAAGGGGATTCCAAGACATTTTAGAGCAAGGTGGATCAGGACTTGATGATGGGTGATAGGATGTCGTGGTTTTGAACCTGGATAATGGGAGAAATAACAGCAAGTTGTGAATGAGGAACAGTGGAGGAAGTTGAAGGAAACATTTGAAGCTATGGAATTGTTGCTCGGGAAAGCAGTGAACATTGGAGATGTGTATTTGAAAACCAAAAGGTTGGTAGCTATAATCATGAAGAGATTAGAGTGCTGAGGAAAGTGTTTTTGAAAATTCTCATGGGAGAAGATAACACAGTAAGCATAGAATTAAATCCAGTACTCAACTAGAAGAAAGGGAGGGAGGGGAGTTGCCCCATGGGGGAAGGACAATGAGAACAGTTTCTCTCAACACCAAGCAGACATTGTTTCAGAAAGAAGCGGGGTACTGAATACTTCAAATGCTACAGAGATGACAAGGAGGCTGAGCTCACTAAATCTGGTAAGAAGGTTATGCTTAGTTTTACAGGGACTACTTTCTCTCTTTTTTTTTTTCCCTTCAATTTTTTGGCTGCACTGTGCAGCATGTGGGATCTTAGTTCCCTGACCAGGGATCAAACCAGTACCCCCTGCACTGGATGCACGGAGTCTTAACCACTTAGACCGCCAGGAAAGTCCTTGGTCAGGATTAATTTTAAAAGGACAATTTGTAGAGAGATAAGCAGGCTAAATAATAAAGATTTAGGATAGTGAATGTTGAAACAAGTTATTGGACTTGCCCAACTTAGAGAAATTTGGCAGAAATAAAAGAAATAGGATGGCAACTAGAAATGATGGTCACTTAAGGGCTTTTTCAAGAGGAGATTTCTGCATATTTTGAAGGCTGGGGAAAGAGCCTCTGGAAGGGAGGAGATTTTTTTTTTTTTTTAGAATGATTCATGATCACTTTCTTTTAAAAGTATTTTGTTTTTATTTTCATTTTCGCCTGGGCTGTTCTTCGTGGTCATTTGCTTCCAAAATGATCAAGATAGCCAACTTAACCAAAAGAATGCCCAAGGAATAATTTACTGCAGAAAACTATTGATTGGTTCATTGGTTCATTGACCAATTCATTGTCAAAAGCATTTTTTTAAATTAAATTTATTTTTAATTGAAGGATAATTGCTTTACAGTATTGCATTGTTTTCTACCAAACATCAACATGAATCAGTCATAGGTTTAACCATGTCCCCTCCCACTTGAACATACCTCCCCATTTTAATTTCTTGAGGCAAGGGAAAAAAATCCGAGCCACGTGTGCAAAGTCGCTTCAGTTGTGTCCGACTCTTTGCAACCTTATGAACTGTAGTCCACTAGGCTCCTCTGTCCATGGGATTCTCCAGGCAAAAATATTGGAGTGGGTTGTCATTTCCTTCTACAGTGGATCTTTCCAGCCCAGTATTAAACCTGTGTCTCCTGCATTGGCATGCGGGTTCTTTACCATGCATGCCACCTGGTAATTAAGAAACTGTCTCCCTTTATGCTCATCCAAGAGTACCCCAAATGGGATTATTTAAATTAATCACCAAAGCATATTTAAATGTCTACTTCTAAAAGTCTTCTCAATCCTGGATTCCTCTAAATTTAAAAATAAATTTCATGCTAACTAAAAGTGTATTAAACTGTACATCTAAATGTGTATTTTACTGTGTATAAATTATACCCCAAACAAATTGAACAAAAGTACTATGGAAATGTAGGGACTGGTTTTGAATCAGGTACTAATTTTTGAATTATTACTATGTGACCCTTTAAAAGCTGTATATACATTAAAAAAAAATTGTGCCAATGAGTTAGGTGTTGTTATCCCCATGTTACTGATGAGAGGAGCTGGAGTCCCTGGTTTAAGATCACACAGCTAAAATCTGGAGTGTGGACTCAACCCGTCTGACAGGCAGAGGTTGTACTTCCACTGTTACAGTAGGTATTCTGAGTCAAGAAGATGCAGTTGGCAGGCATGTTGCTGGGTGCTTATTCTAATGTGTTTCTGCCTTCCTAGGGACCAGCATGAGCGGCCCTCTGCTGTTCAGCTCCTCAAGCATTCCTTCTTGAAGAGAAGTCCCTGAACAGACATCAGGAATTTCCAGCTCCACTACAGATACTTTGTCACTGTTTCATTGTGCAAATGATGGTTTAGGGACCCTTGTTTTCCTACTGGCAAGTCAATCTAACCCGATTTAACCAGATCCTGCAATGTCACTAACCGAAAAGTTTCAGTTACAAGTTAGCCTTCTCTAGCTTCAGGCACAATTGCCCATGTTTATGAGCAACTTGTCTTAAACAGTAAAAAGAGAAAAATTCCAGTGTTTACAGTTTTATCCAGGAACTACAATTTCTCTTGCTTTATATGCTAGTTCCTTCTATTTTTTGGCTGGTTAATTTTAATGTCATTAGTTCAAAATAAATTGTATAAAAAAGTAAATGTATTTTCTTGCTTGGTGGGCAAAGGCACTTATTTCTTACAAAGGAGAGTGGAGGAAGGTGAAAAGGTAAAGGAGAAAGGGACTAGATTCAGTTTACGTATGTAGCAATCTTAACACTGGAGATTACAGGGGCCTCAACATTAACAGGAGGGTCTTGGCCTTTCATTACCAGAGCGTCCCCTAACACCTGGTAAGTTCCCACCTACAAGAAGCTGGGCTGTACAGGGTGGGCTCCATAATCCTCGGGCCGCCTTCCCCGTGCTTTGTACTATGATTTGAGGTCTTCACTTGTTTACAGAATGAATATAATCATTACTGCATTGAGAACTAGCTAAACATAAGCCAGCAGGTGGGATAAAAGCTCATTGATCTGATAAGGGGAGAGTGGATCAGCATACAAACTTTTCTAGGACATTTTGCTCACGTCACCTGAAGGAAGGACATCCCTGCCAAGGTCATCTTCCTTCATTTCCAGGACCCTGAAAAACCTTGAAAAAGTAAATGGGGACAAGTTGTCAGAATTATTACAAAGTCTTAAGTTGGTGGACTTTTTGATAAGTATCATTTGAAGGTGGCCTAACTACAAGCTAACTTGAGGGGAATTCTAATTCTCACCAGTGTGAAGCTTAGTCAAAATCAAGCTGCTTCTTGAGAAGTTTTCAAAGTATGTGAAACACAGTTCAGCTGAGGTAAGAGTCTACTTTGGCCAACATGTTTACAAGGTTCTTTGAGGGCACACCTTCTTCCTTTCTCTCTGGTTTGCGGGTTCTTCCCTCACATTTGATAAAAATTAAAGGGATACTCTCTTTATTTTACTTGTATACCAATACCATCTTAAGTAAGGTTTTTAAATCTTAGTATGGGTTTCAGCATTCTTTAAAGTCTTAATGATTATATCTGACTTTGGAGCAATTAACTATAGAAACCCTATGAAGAAAGGGTAGGGACTAAGAAATGTTTATACTGTGTAAGCAAATCAGTAACGGACACAAAGCTGGTGTTAATAAACCCACCCCTCTTCTGATACAGGAAAACACTGGACACCAATTTGACAGAACCTTCAATATTCGTACATTTTTAATAGGCAAGTCTTGATCCTAAGAGCTTTGTTTTGTCATTTATTGTTTAACATTGAAATTAAGCTTATGTCACTGCCCAGGTGTTTGCTCCCTTTATATCTTCCTTTAGGAGGTAGAGGTCCTGAAAGAAGACTGGGATTTCACAAAGGTGAAGGCTGGGAGGGCAAGCATTCGTTGAGCTCTTAATAGTGAAAGGCACATCATTTAATTCTGGCTGTCTGGGTTGGTGGTAGTCTGATTTTACCAACAGACAGTAGGGCTCAGGACTACGTTAACTTTCTCAAGGTCATCCAACTGGTGAGTGAGTTGGGGCTGCTACCCAGATCTGACTTTAGTCTTTTCCCTGCTGCCTCCCAGATTTGTCATTTATAAATGAAATCAGTTACATTAGTTTTACTAAGAAAAAACCAAAACCCAAAACCCAAAACACCTGGAGATGCTGATAAATTTACCGGTACAATGATTCTGATGACTTAATTGGTGTCAAAAGCTTCTCATTTTTCATTTAGCAACACTGCATTTCCTTCTATGCCTATATCCCCTTCTGACCAGGTACAACACCCCAGTTTTCATGCACATCCAGAAGTGAATTTCATTACATACTGAATAGGTCTTAAGCTCAACCAAAGGGAATTTAACCTCCCAAGTAAAATCCTAAAAGTAGTTCCAAGTCTAGAACCTTCTTCACTTTACCCTATTCTAGCCCTTAGGCTGTGGACATTTTTCAATGGACTAGGCGAGCTGCTGTGGAAAAGCCAGGGCTCTGGAGTATGGGGTTGGGGGATGTGCAGGATTCTACCTACTTTATCCACACACTCCTGCTTCACCATAACAGTCCTGGACCTTTAGTGTACTGAGTATTTCCAACATAAAATGCCACTTAACCTGCTCAAAGACCATGAAAAGCCTCCATCACGTACCGGGCCATCTTTATTCCTCATACCTGTTGTACTTCCAAGTATTCAGCTGAAGGCAGGTATGTAACTAAAGCAACTCACATTTTAAAAAAGCCTTCTAGGTGATTCAACTTGAAAATATTGGGTGTAGGCAGTCTGTATCTTCATTGATCATTAACAAGAGTTTTGTGTACAGCACTCTGTGAAAAGCTGAACTACACAGCCTTGAGGAAGAGCTGTAGCACTCATATTGTTATGACTTTAAACTTGTGAAAATCCACGGCTGACTTTGTCTCTAAAGCAATTGTTCCTATAGATTATGACTTGAAAGACTAAAGAAAACTGATCTTGGGGATATGCCTGGACACTGGTTAAGGTCTCAATGAGCCTATTAATTTCATGGCAGTATGATTAGAAACCCTCATTTAGTGAAGCTCTACATTGCTTTGGTAGGTGGTGTTGGGGGGGGGGGGGGGAGGGAACAGGTAGGTCATATACAAGACCTAGAACAAAAATGACAATTTTCTCCATTATACTAAAAGCAACAGGTGGGAAAAGGTGAAAAAACAACTGAGTAGGGTGAATTGCTAAATGAGATTACTAACTTTGGTTAAGGGGAATTACTGACTTTATGTTCCTAAATAAAACTCATGTAATTTATTATTTTCTTAAAAACAAAACAAAACCAAACCCTTACTCCTTACTGGCTCCTTAGTCCTTGTGACTCAACTGGTAAAGAATCAGCCTGCAATGCGGGAGACCTGGGTTCGATTCCTGGGTTGGGAAGATCCCCTGGAGAAGGGAAAGGCTACCCACTCCAGTATTCTGACCTGGAGAATTCCATGGGCTGTACAGTCGGACACCACTAAGCAAGCAACTTTCACTTTCACTCCTTACTGGTGTCATCAACATGAAATAAAGACAAATCTAATGTGATTTCAAGACATTTATTTTATATTTAGGCTTAAAACTCTGTTCTATCCTAGTTCTCTTTTATGAAAGCCACTGCAGGCTTCCAATTTCTTTCAAGTATTAAATGCAGGAAAACCGGTGTGGGAGGGAAAGGGGTTGGAAAGAACAGCAATGTTAAAGCAGTTTATGATTAAATTTCACATGAACAATTCCCCATACAGATAACTGCAAGTACTTTTTTGTGGAGGGAATGCAAGAGGGTACACAAGAAAATACTAGACTATGAGTCTGAACGAACAACTGAAACTCTGTAAACAGCAGGCCTGCAGTGTCTACCACACGAGTTTGCTGCACCTGGCCTGGCCTTTGCCAGTTTCCTGAATTATTTACAACCTGCTCCTATTAGGATGCTCCTCAACACCATCCGTTCTATTCAGCTCTCACTGAGCAACCAAGCCTTAAGCCTCATAACGCAATGAATAGGTACTGACATTTTGTAGATTAGGAAATCAAGGCACAAAGTCAAGTCATTTACCCAGACATCAGCAACTGAGTGATGGAGCTGAGACTGGAACATGGACAATCTGATCCTAGTGGCCACACTCCTTGATGATACACAAAGTCACTCAACTAAAGAGTAACTTTTATAGTAGAGATCTCATTTCCCACATCTCCCAGGAAGTTATTTCTGATTCATATTAACAAGACATGTTAGAGCCTTGGATTTATGTTGTCAATAAACAAACTTTATTAATAATTCCTTGTATTAGATATTGAGATGAAATTCAATGTCTAATTGAATTCATGCCATATACACAAACTCTTGTTTTAGATTTTCTATTGGCAAACATCCTGTTCAATAGTCCTTGGGGGTTCTGAGTACATTCACAAAATGAAATCCCAATTATTGCTGCCAACAAATGAGCACGTAAGTTTTTCAAACTAGGTGGGTGAAACTGCTTGAAAAACACAACTTAGAAAAAAAAAAAAAGAATGTACTCATTAATTAACAATAAGCAAATAAAGTTAAATCAACCACTAAACAGGTTTTAAGTGAGGTTTCTTCCCAAAACTTGGAAATAAAGGAAATCAGCCCTCAGAATTTACTTTTGTGATTAATGGATCACAGAGAACAGGCTAAGTCACTTTTGAGAGACCAGAATTACTCCGAGTCACACAACCTTCCAATGTATCCTGCTTATTTAGCAAGCTACCTTAAGAAACTTCAGGCAGAACACATACTGGTAAATGAACAGAAAAGGAGTCATAGAAGCAAAAGGTGGCTGTGCCCAAATAAACATTGCAGAATAAAAAATGGATGCATAGTATCAGACCTAAAATGCTTGGAACACAGATGTTTCAGAGGCAAACTTCTCTTACCAAGACAAACTTCTATTTGGTACATTTGTCAGCTTACAGGGAAAAAATTTCAGGTTATTGATATAGTTGTGAATCCTCAAATTAATGTATTGGTACTGTAATTTGACACCTGAAAAGGATGGGGGCAGAACGCGCTGCTTCTGCAATCCAGAAACTCCTAAATCAGCCTATCATAAACAAACTGGTCCATGAAATTAGCATTTGTCACCAAGTTTTTCTCACTTGTGGGACTTACTCATTTTTTATCTGGATAAATGTGGTTAGGAAATCCTACTGCCTTCCAAGAAAGCAGACTGCTGAATCAAGAATTCTTTGTAACAAAAGCTCTGATTTTTCTCAGCAAAGATCTTAAAAATCACCTACCTATTTAAGCACA